AGCGAGTTGCAGTAATCCAGACGGGAGATGACAAGTGCCTGGATTAGGACCTGTGCCGCTTCCTGTGTAAGGCAGGGTCGTACTCTCCGAATGTTGTAGAGCATGAACCTACAGGATCGGGTCACCGCCTTGATGTTAGCGGAGAACGACAGGGTGTTGTCCAGGGTCACGCCAAGGCTCTTCGCACTCTGGGAGGAGGACACAACGGAGTTGTCAACCGTGATGGCGAGATCATGGAGCGGGCAGTCCTTCCCCGGGAGGAATAGCAGCTCCGTCTTGCCAAGGTTCAGCTTGAGGTGGTGATCCGTCATCCATACTGATATGTCTGCCAGACATGCAGAGATGCGATTCGCCACCTGGTTATCAGAAGGGGGAAAGGAGAAGATTAGTTGTGTATCGTCAGCGTAGCAATGATAGGAGAGGCCATGTGAGGATATGACAGAGCCAAGTGACTTGGTGTATAGGGAGAAAAGGAGAGGGCCTAGAACTGAGCCCTGGGGGACACCAGTGGTGAGAGCACGTGGTGCGGAGACAGCTTCTCGCCACGCCACTTGGTAGGAGTGACCGGTCAGGTAGGACGCAATCCAAGAGTAAGCCGCGCCGGAGATGCCCAGCTCGGAGAGGGTGGAGAGGAGGATCTGATGGTTCACAGTACCCGAGGTCGTCGGGTAAGCTCGGCGTCGGGTAAGCTTGGCTTTACACATAGTCTTTAGCCAATACTGCTTAATTCATTGTTTTGGGAATTTTATATTCTTCCTGACGGTCTCGCTTTTTGGGGGGGGGATTGTTAGTTCTCAAAGATTATATAATTTAAAAAATATAGGTCCCATTTTCTACATACTTAATATCTGGTTTTAGTTGTTTAACCACTTACATGTAATCTACGTAATCCCCAAAAGTAATTTATCATGAGGGCCATAAACAATAACTAGTAATGCTGCATACTTAAAGGTAAGAATCTCATCCTTCTGGTAAAAATTGTTATAAGTGCTGAGGTGTAGTCATGTTTGAGGACACAAGCTCAAGTACAAATATAATTGTAGTCTATTTCCTATTCAACTGTATGAATAAGGCTTGAAATTACTCATATGCTTTCTAAATGTAGTATAATCAAATTATAAATCGACTACGTTTTCACCTTAACTGTAAAATACATATTTGTATGTTTAGTGTTAGAGAAAATGTGCATATTTCTTAACTGTCAAAACGTCTACCTCCACCGCTGTGAAAGTCACACACAGCACTAGCTTGGCTTCCTGAACTTGTTAGGAACTCTCCTTTCATCTCATATTAATATTGTCCGTCTATGACAGTGGTTTTTGTTTGAACTCTATGAATTAGTTTAGATTACTGGCTATAAACCGATCCCTGAATGTGCTAGAGTGACGAAACCGCTAACTTCTGCTGCACTACGATGTAAGGATTGCAGGCAAATGCTTCGTCAGTGGCTGTGACATAGGGTTCAGCCAGGAGTTGATGGATAGTCGGAAGAGCGAATGAAATGGTAGGAGGTACATCCCAGCTTCAAGTGGTAACAGATTTCACATCCTAGGTCCCACAGGCGGAAAATATATACACTGCTGTGTCCATGAGAAGCAGGGATATCGCTCAGTGCACGCCATTTCGATCTATTGTGTCCACAGACTGATTTTATAAGTGAAATTGTTGGTCAGAACCGGTACCAGTATGGATGTGTGTAAAGTGCATTCGGAAAGTATTCAGACCCCTTGACTTTTTCCACATTGTGTTACGTTACAGCCTTATTCTGAAATGGATTCAATTGTTTTTTCCCGTCAATCTACACACAATACCCCATAATGACGACAGCAAAAACAGGTTTTTAGAAATGTTTGCAAATGTATTAAAAATAAAAAACAGATCACATTTACATAACTATTCAGACCCTTTACTCAGTACTTTGTTGAAACACCTTTGGCAGCGATTACAGCCTCAAGTGTTCTTGGGAATGACACTACAAGCTTGGCACACCTGTATTTGGGGACTCCCATTCTTCTCTGCAGATCCTCTCAAGCTCTGTCAGGTTGGATGGGGTGCGTCGCTGCACCGCTATTTTCAGGTCTCTCCAGAGATGTTCGATTGGGTTCAAGTCCGGGCTCTGGCTGGGCCACTCAAGGACATTCAGAGACTTGTCACGAAGCCACTCCTGCGTTGTCTTGGCTGTGTGCTTAGGGTCATTAGGTGAACCTTCGCCCCAGTCTGAGGTCCTGAGCACTCTGGAGCAGGTTTTCATCAAGGATCTCTGTACTTTGCTCCGTTCATCTTTGCTTCGATCCTGACTAGTCTCCCTGCCGCTGAAAAACATCCCCACAGCATGATGCTGCCTCCACCGTGCTTCACCGTAGCGTGGTGCCAGGTTTCCTCCAGACGTGATGCTTGGCATTCAGGCCAAAGTGTTCAATCTTGGTTTCATCAGACCAGAGAATCTTGTTTCTTATGGTCTGAGAGTACTTTAGGTGCCTTTTGGCAAACTCCAAACGGGCTGTCATGTGTCTTACTGAGGAGTGTCTTCCGTCTGGCCACTCTACCATAAAGGCCTGATTGGTGGAGTACTGCAGAGATGGTTGTCCTTCTGGAAGGTTCTCCCATCTCCACAGAGGAACTCTGGAGCTATGTCAGTGACCATCGGGTTCTTGGTCACCTCCCTGACCAAGGCTCTTCTCCCCCAATTGCTCAGTTTGGCCGTGCGGCTAGCTCTAGGAACAGTCTTGGTGGTCCCAAACTTCTTTCATTTAAGAATGATGGAGGCCACTGTGTTCTTGGGGACCTTCAATACTGCAGACATTTTTTGGTACCCTTCCCAAGATCTGGGCCTCGATGCAATCCTGTCTCTGAGCTCTACAGACAATTCCTTCGACCTCATGGCTTGGTTTTTGCTCTGACATGCACTGTCAACTGTGGGACCTCATATACACAGGCGTGTGCGCCTTTCCAAATCACAGGTGGACTCCAATCAAGTTGTAGAAACATCTCAAGGATGATCAATGGAAACAGGATGCCCCTGAACTCAATTTCGAGTCTCGTAGTAAAGGGTCTTAATACTTATGTGAATACGTTTTTTAAAAATAAATTAGCTAACATGTCTAAACCTGTTTTTCGCTTTGTCATTATGGGGTGTTGTGTGTAGATTGATGAAAAAAATATGTAATCTATTTCAGAGTAAGGCTAACGTAACAATGTGGAAAAAGTCAAGGGGTCTGAATACTTTCCGAATGCGCTGTACACACTTACTTACATGTAAGGGATAAACACTGATGGTTTGTACATTATCTGTAAATAATGGATGACTTGGTACTGCCAGAGTTTATTAGTTCCAGATAATGTACAGAACGCAGACATTTATCCCGCTAATACCACGATTGCTAAAGAAAACAAGCACACATTTACTGGTAAAATGATATGTTTTCATTGAGATTAAACTTTTTTATAAGTTAATTCATACTATTTCATCCACCTAAACCTGGTTGTTAGAACTATCGGTTAGGTTGCTAGAGAAGCGGACTTGTTGTTCATTGTATTTGTTTATTGCTATGTAGGCTGGCAATGTTCTTATCCCTTGTTTGCTAGCTAGCCAACTCTGATAGAATAACATCAAAATAGCTGCGTTTGTTTAAGCTGTTTTCTAATTAAATGTATTTGGATGCATCCATGCTACTGTACATACGTAGTGCCTGTTGAGGGATTACACCTACACAAAGTACATTTCATCCATTTTAAATAAAAGTTAGAAAATGATTAGTCTTTTTTTATGTTTGTTGTTCATAGTTTGGTTGCTAGCTCCAATAATACTGCCTACTTTTAATATAAATATTTTGTTAGTGGTGGTGGGGGAGGGGGTAGAATCGAGTGGATTTGGGCCATTGCTGGGCTGATTTCTCGCTTGTGCTTCCTGGGTTACAGAGGGGGGGAGCTGATCCTAGAGCAGCACTCCTACTCTGAGATGTTTTCTGAATAAGGGTGGAATACAGGCAGCTATACATTTGTGCAATAAGACACAAGGGGGTGTGGTATATTGGCCATATACCACAAACCCCCGAGGTGCCTTATTGCTATTATAAACTGGTTACCAACGTAATTAGAGCAGTAAAAATACATGTTTTGTCATACCTGTGGTGTACGGTCTGATATACCACGGCTGTCAGCCAATCAGCATTCAGGGCTCGAACCACCCAGTTTCTAAGTAGCTTTATACACTCACAGTAAAGTTCCTTTTAATGTCACCCAGATCTTTGGGAATTGGTTGACTCAGTCATTTTTCCATGTGCTCTGTCTATTTTCCACTTAGAAATCCTGTCAGTCTTTACTCCCAGTAAAAAGGTAGTCTCCGGCCCCGATATTGTTTTTCATGTTTCTTTTGTCACACGGTTTGCATGGGGGCAGGTTGCTCTCTCAGCTAGTGAGCTGATTGCACTTTTACTGATTAGAGAATTTTTTTGCCTTGCTATTTTTAATCGTTCTCTTTTCTTACACATCCTCAACTTCTGGCAATGCTGTAGAATACGATTCAGATCTGTATTTATGAACAGTGTACATTTCAGTGTACTTTTCATGATGGCCTATATTTTCCGTGGAAGTGGAGTTTGATCAATGATCATACTTTGCATTTGTACTAGCCTAGACCTAATTTGTAATTGCACATGTCCGTTTGCAGTTATCCCCCACTACATTTTGAAGCCTGATCTCTCGAACCAGTTCAGTGTGATGGTTTGTAAACCGATATCACCTGGGCTGCTGCCCATGGTTTCATCTGATCCCACCCCTTACCAACCCTGTGAAAAGATCGACTAGTCCTAAACATTTAATTATTAATTGTAAAGAAAGATACGTTGGCTGATTATTAGGCCTAATGTAGTAAAGATGCAAAGTATTAGTATAGTGTAGCCTATTGTGGTGGTTATGGTCAGTATGATATTTTTTGTTAAACACAGTGGGAACATGAAATTATGAATTATATTCCTACCCTGTTTTATTCTGTGTTTTAGGATGAGGATTTCACTGGGTTTGGGACGCAATACCGGCCTACGCTCTCAGCACACAATATCTATAAAAGTAAGTAGGCTAATGATGAACAGTAATGTGAGATATCACCTGTGCTCAGGAATGCTCACATTTCCTAGCAGAAATATGCAGTAGCCTTCATATTTTCCATTTATTGCTTTGGTAGCATACCTGATAGTATGCATGATCAAGTTATTGTCTGACATTAGTCTATTTGTATTAAGACATGTTTCCCCCTCTCATTTCTAGGCAGTCCTTTCCAATCATCATTATTGAAGCCAAAAAAGCCTCCCCCAGCTCCAGAACTTACAGCAAAGCTTAAGAAAAGTGGAGGCAAAGGCTCCGAAGAAGAGGTTGGAGAGGGTCAGGAAGAAAACGCTGTGAAACCCAAAATAATTGCCAAACTGGCAGCCCAAAAAAAATCACTCAGTTTGTGTGTTAACTCTACAGGAAAGCAGGCTGCTGGGACAAAGGCCTCAAAAGGCAATGGCAGTGCAAAATCAGAGGGCTCTGATAGGAAAAGGGGAAGCAAGGCGATGGAATCGTCTTCAACAGCTAGAAAGAGGAACAGGCAAGACCAAACGACCAAGGTGGGCAGGGGAGGCTCAAGGTCCAGCACAGCCCGAGCCCAAACCAGCAGAGACAAGCAGGGCAAACTGGTGTGGACCCTGACAGTGGTCAAGGGCAAAGGGAAGACCTCCAAGGGCAAAGAGGCTGGGGGGGTAACAGCAGACAACAGTGAAACAGACAAAGCTAAGCCACAGAGGTTTGGGAAGACGAGAAAAGGATCTCAGCAAGGAGACAAGGTTGAAGCACAGGCTCAGTCTAGAAATGGAAAGACGACGACGGATCTCCACACCGCCTCTCAAGGAGTAGCACTGTCCCCTGAACCTGTGAATAAGCAGCAGCAGCAAAGGAAGAGGGTGTCCAGGGGAACCGTGGATTCCCCTGAGGCTGGAGCTGAGATGGGTCAGGAGCCAGCAATACCCCCGGAAAGAAAGAAACCAGCACCATATAAGCGCAAGTCCATATTTGGCCTCAGAAGGAAGCCCAGTAATGTGCAGAGGCTTAGTCCGCCAGATTCTGTTGTGAAACACTTCCGTCGTAAGGTTGTCTTCTACACCTACGTGCCAGAGTACCTCCCAGCCCCAGTGAAGCAGGAGGGACAGGAGCCGCAGAGGGAGAGCACCGGGACAGAGGGCAAGCTTCTCCTGTCCCCTGGAAAGATTCAGCAAGGAGGCAGCAGTAACCTCTCCTTGCCTGTGGTGAGTGCCAGGTCTTCACGTGTCATCAAGGCACCCAAGAGGTTCCTCAACGACGAGATAATATCCTGGCCCAGGGGCTCCCTGAAAAAGAAGAACCAACACAAGGTGAAGGAGGAGGATGCCATGAGCCTATCCTTTTATGATTCAGACAATGATGACATTGACAACTTGTCTCAAACTCCAGGTCAAAATGAGTTCAAACCTGAAGTTGACAGCTCAACTGGTAAAAAAACACTTAAGACCAGCCTGTCCTCAACTCTGTCTGTGATGGACTCAACACTCAACCCAGGATCATCCCACCTCGAAGTCTACGAGAGACTCAAGAAGCAGACCATCAGCCTGGCCCAGAAGAAGAAGAAAGGGCTTAGTGCTGCTGAGGGTAAACCAGCAGAAGAAGAAGCCCAGGAGGACCTAAGTTTGACCTCGCCGGTTAGGAAAAGGGGGAGGTCCAAGCTGAAGATGGAGGACCTCAACTCTCCCGGGGTTGTGAGGAAACTGGCGGTGCTGGTCAGTAACGCTGCTGCATCATCTGAGACTCTGGAGGAGGCAGCAAACAACACAGAAAATGTCCAAGGTAAGACCTTTTCTGTGCTCAGTTAAATATTTGTTGTTCGCTTAATGGATCTTTAGGAACTATTTATTTTATTTATTTATTTATTACAGAAAATTATTTGGACTGTTGTGATAAAATAGTATTCTTAGATGTTGTCATGCATATACAGTTCATTCGGAAAGTATTCAGACCCCTTGACTTTTTCCACATTTTATTACGTTACAGCCTTATTCTAAAATGTATTAAATAAATAAACATCTTCATGAATCTACACACAATACCCCATAATGACAAAGCGAAAAAACGTTTTTTTAGAAATGTTTGCGAATGTATTAAACATTTTTAAAAAACATACCTTATTTACATAAGTATTCACACCCTTTGCTATGAGACTCGAAATTGAGCTCAGGTGCATCCTGTTTCCATTGATCATCCTTGAGATGTTTCTAGAACTTAATTGGAGTCCACCTGTGGTCAATTCAATTGATTGGACATGATTTGGAAAGGCACACACCCATAGTTGACAGTGCATGTCAGAGCAAAAACCAAGCCATGAGGTTGAAGGAATTGTCCGTAAAGCTCAGAGACAGGATTGTGTCGAGGCACAGATCTGGGGAAGGGTACCAAAACATTTCTTCAGCATTTGAAGGTTCCCAAGAACACAGTGGCCTCCATCATTCTTAAATGGAAGAAGTTTGGAACCACCAAGACTCTCCCTAGAGCTGGCAGCCCAGCCAAACTGAGCAATTGGGGGAGAAGGGCCTTGGTCAGGGAGGTGACCAAGAACCCGATGGTCACTCTGACAGAGCTCCAGAGTTCCTCTGTGGAGATGGGAGAACCTTCCAGAAGGACAACCATCTCTGCAGCGCTCTACCAATCAGGCCTTTTATGGTAGAGTGGCCAGACTGAAACCACTCCACAGTAAAAGGAACATGACAGCCCGCTTGGAGTTTGACAAAAGGCACCTAAAGGACTCTCACACCATGAGAAACAAGATTATTTTATCTGATGAAACCAAGATTTAACTCTTTGGCCTGAATGCCAAGCGTCACGTCTGGAGGAAACCTGGCACCCATCCCTACGGTGAAGCGTGGTGGTGGCAGCATCATGTTGTGGGCATGTTTTTCAGCGGCAAGGAGAGGGAGACTAGTCAGGATCTAGGGAAGGATGAACAGAGCAAAGTACTGCGAGATCCTTGATGAAAACCTTCTCCAGAGTGCTCAGGACCTCAGACTGGGGCGAAGGTTCACCTTCCAACAGGACAATGACCCTAAGAACACAGCCAAGACAACGCAGGAGTGGCTTCAGGACAAGTCTCTGAATGTCCTTTTAGTTGCCCAGCCAGAGCCCGGACTTGAACCCGATCAAATATCTCTGGAGAGACCTGAAAAATCTCCATCCAACCTGATAGCTTGAGAGGATCTACAGAGAAGAATTGAAGAAACCCCCCAAATGCAGGTGTGCCAAGCTTGTAGCGTCATACCCAAGAAGACTCGAGGCTGTAATCGTTGACAATGATGCTTCAACAAAGTACTGAGTAAAGGGTCTGAATACTTATGTAAATGTAATATTTCAGATTTTTTCAAATATATACAGTGAGGGGGAAAAAAGTATTTGATACCCTGCTGATTTTGTACGTTTGCCCACTGACAAAGAAATGATCAGTCTATAATTTTAATGGTAGGTTTATTTGAACAGTGAGAGACAGAATAACAACAAATAAATCCAGAAAAACACATGTCAAAAATGTTATAAATTGATTTGCATTTTAATGAGGGAAATAAGTATTTGACCCTTCTGCAAAACATGACTTAGTACTTGGTGGCAAAACCCTTGTTGGCAATCAGAGGTCAGATGTTTCTTGTAGTTGGCCACCAGATTTGCACACATCTCAGGAGGGATTTTGTCCCACTCCTCTTTGCAGATCTTCTCCAAGTCATTAAGGTTTCGAGGCAGATGTTTGGCAACTCGAACCTTCAACTCCCTCCACAGATTTTCTATGGGATTAAGGTCTGGAGACTGGCTAGGCCACTCCAGGACCTTAATGTGCTTCTTCTTGAGCCACTCCTTTGTTGCCTTGGCCGTGTGTTTTGGGTCATGATGGTTTTTGGCCCCGTACATGGCCCCGTCCATCGTCCCTTTTGATGCGGTGAAGTTGTCCTGTCCCCTTAGCAGAAAAAACACCCCCAAAGCATAATGTTTCCTCCATGTTTGATGGTGGGGATGGTGTTCTTGGGTTCATAGGCAGCATTCCTCCTCCTTCAAACACAGCGAGTTGAGTTGATGCCAAAGAGCTCCATTTTGGTTTCATCTGACCACAACACTTTCACCCAGTTCTCCTCTGAATCATTCAGATGTTCATTGGCAAACTTCAGACGGGCATGTATATGTTCTTTCTTGAGCAGGGGGACCTTGCGGGCACTGCAGGATTTCAGTCCTTCATGGCATAGTGTGTTACCAATTGTTTTCTTGGTGACTATGGTCCCAGCTGCCTTGAGATCATTGACAAGATCCTCCCATGTAGTTCTGGGCTGATTCCTCACCGTTCTCATGATCATTGCAACTCCACGAGGTGAGATCTTGCATGGAGCCCCAGGCCGAGGGAGATTGACAATTCTTTTGTGTTTATTCCATTTGCGAATAATCGCACCAACTGTTGTCACCTTCTCACCAAGCTGCTTGGCGATGGTTTTGTAGCTCATTCCAGCCTTGTGTAGGTCTACAATCTTGTCCCTGACATCCTTGGAGAGCTCTTTGGTCTTGGCCATGGTGGAGAGTTTGGAATCTGATTGCTTCTGTGGACAGGTGTCTTTTTATACAGGTAACAAACTGAGATTAGGAGCACTCCCTTTAAGAGTGTGCTCCTAATCTCAGCGCGTTACCTGTATAAAAGACACCTGGGAGCCAGAAATCTTTCTGATTGAGAGGGGGTCAAATACTCATTTCCCTCATTAAAATGCAAATCAATTTATAACATTTTTGACATGCATTTTCTGGATTTTTTTGTTATTCTGTCTCTCACTGTTCAAATAAACCTACCGTTAAAATTGTAGACTGATCATTTCTTTGTCAGTGGGCAAACGTACAAAATCAGCAGGGGATCAAATACTTTTTTCCTCACTGTATGTGTGTGTATATATATATATATATATATATACACACACACACAAACCTGTTTTTCCTTTGTCTTTATGGGGTGTTGTGTGTAGATTGATGAGGGGGGAAAAAATATTTAATCCATTTTAGATTAAGGCTCTAACGTAACAAAATGTGGAAAAAGTCAAGGGGTCTGAATACTTTCCGAAAGCACTGTAGGCCTTATTGGAAACCACATATTACCATAGGATGGAGCAGTATAGCTTGCAGTTTAGGGAATAGGTTGCCATTTGGCAGGTTTGATGACTGTCAGCCTTTTGGAAGTCAGTCAGAGGGACAGTTGCTTGATTCTTCTCCCCAGGGGCAGAAGCTGCTGATGAAGGGGTTTACGAAGGGGAAAGCCAGGCTGATGGGGGTGATGGGGTGGTGGTGGAACAGGGGAGCACCAGCCATCGGATCAACCTCACCAGCACCAACAAGAGGATGTTCCATCTGCTGAAGAGGGCCAAGGTCCAGCTCATTAAGATCGACCAGCTGAAGAGAGCAAAGCTGCAGCTTGTGAAGATCGACCAGCAAAGACCGATGAAGTCATCACAGGTGAGAATCTGTGACTTTGATTTACCCTGTTTGCATGCATACACACACACACACACACACTAACTAACTAACTAACTACCGGTCAAATGTTTTAGAACACCTACTCATTCAAGGGGTTTTCTTTCTTTTTACAATTTTTTTCATTGTAGAATAATAGTGACGACATCAAAACTATGAAATAACACAAATGGAATCATAGTAACCAAAAAAGTTTTGAACAAATCAAAATATATTTTAGATTTGAGATTATTCAAATAGCCACCCTTTGCCTTGTTGACAACTATGCACACTCTTGGCATTCTCTCAACCAGCTTCATGAGGTAGTCACCTGGAATGCATTTCAATTAACAGGTGTGCCTTCTTAAAAGTTAATTTGTGGAATTTCTTTCCTTCTTAATGCGTTTGAGCCAATTGTGTTGTGACAAGGTAGGGGGGTATACAGAAGATAGCCCTATTTGGTAAAAGACCAAGTCCATATGGCAAGAACAGCTCAAATAAGCGAAGAGAAACGACAGTCCGTCATTACTTTAAGACATGAAGGTCAGTCAATACGGAACATTTCAAGAACTTTGAAGGTTTCTTCGGGTGCAGTCGCAAAAACCATCAAGTGCTATGATGAAACTGGCTCTCATGAGGACCGCCACAGGAAAGGAAGACCCAGAGTTACCTCTGCTGCAGAGGATAAGTTCATTAGAGTTAACTGCACCTCAGATTGCAGCCCAAATAATTGCGTCGCAGAGTTCAAGTAACAGACACATCACAACATCAACGGTTCAATGGAGACTGTATGAATCAGGCCTTTATGGTCGAATTGCTACAAAGAAACCACTACTAAAGGACAGCAATAAGAAGAAGAGACTTGCTTGGGCCAAGAAACACGAGCAATGGACATTAGACCGGTGGAAATGTGTCCTTTGGTCTGGAGTCCAAATTTGAGATTTTTGGTTCCAACCGCCATGTCTTTGTGAGACGGAGAGTAGGTGAACGGATCTCCGCATGTGTGGTTCCCACCATGAAGCATGGAAGACGAGGTGTGATGGTGTGGGGGTGCTTTGCTGGTGACACGGTCTGTGATTTATTTAGAATTCAAGGCACACTTAACCAGCATGGCTACCACGCCATCCCATCTGGTTTGCACTTTGTGGGACTATCATTTTTTTTTTTTTTAACAGGACAATTACCCAACACACCTCCAGGCTGTGCAAGGGCTATTTTACCAAGGAGGAGAGTGATGGAGTGCTGCATCAATGACCTGGCCTCCACAATCACCTGACCTCAATCCAATTGAGATGGTTTGGGATGAGTTGGGCTGCAATTTTTTGATACTTCAAGGGGTCTTAAAATTCAAAATGAAAATGCTCCTTGGTGTGACGTTCTTAAAACAATTCCATATAGCTTAGTAGTACCACTCCCCCGGAGTGACTCCATGCAGCTTATGTGACTTGTTAATCAAATATTTACTCCGGGGGAGTAAATAACAAGATCCATTGTGAATACTTTCTGAAGGCACTGTAGAATCGTGAGAATCACAATACATATCGTATCGGCACCTAAGTATCGTGAGCTCCCTGGCAATTCCCAGCCCAACTTATTACTATGGCACTGAAAGGTCATAGTTTAATTGTTACACTCTTGTCTCTTTCATCTCCTGTCTGGATCGGTAAAGCTTGGTCCCAGAGATTTAGGAGTATGAGGGGGCAGAAGGAGGAGAGGAGGCTCTGCTCAGGTGAGCCCATGTTTCCTGACCCTGGCTTTGTTTTTGGTTTTGTCTAGCCGCCTGGGTCCGTGTCATTCTTCATCTCTGTTTGATTGATGCTTATGTATTGTTGATGTTTTTAGTACAGTGTTTTGTTGTTTTTATTTTTTATTTAATCCTTATTTTACCAGGTAAGTTGACTGAACATATTCTCATTTACAGCAACGACCTGTGGAATAGTTACAGGGGAGTTGAATGAGCCAATTGGAAGCTGGAGATGATTAGGGGGTCATGATGGTATGAGGGCCAGATTTAGCCAGGACACCGGGGTTAACACCCCTAGTGCCATGATATATTTTAGTGACCGCAGAGTCAGGACACCCGTTTTTAACGTTCCATTTGAAAGACTGCACCCTACACAGGGCAATGTCCCCTCACTGCCCTGGGGCATTGGATCCTTAAAAAAAAAAAAAAAATTACCAGAGGAAAGAGTGCCTAGCTTCAGTGGCCTGTCTTGGTTTTCTCTTGAATTTGGCTTAGGCCATTTGTGCGTGGGCGCATTTTGGTGTCTGTCTTTAGGGTGGAGTTTCATTATAATTTATTACTAATATGTTCCACCACATGATCCTGTTCCCATAGGACCAATTCCCTGGCGGTCCACGCATCAAGCACGTCTGTCGGGCAGCAGCAGTGGCGTTGGGGCAACCCCGTGCCATGGTGCCTGACGATATCCCCAGGCTTAGTGCTCTGCCCCTCCATGAGCGAGAGGGCATCACCACCTCACCAGCTGTAGAAGGTAACCTTTGCTTATGAAGCACACTGCTAAGAACGGTGGTTACCTATTACCTTGTTTTCTTTTCTTGATTTTAGCTTTCTGTCGATTCCGGTATATGACCTTAGCTCAGTGACCTATGTTTGCAAACTCATTATAAGATGATTTTTGGATCTCTCGCTCGTGCTCTCTGTTTTTAGACATTGCGGATGACCCCTCTGATCAGGAAATCGAGAGCACTCAGGAACACAAGACGACAAGACGGAAGCACAAGTACAGCAAGCAGCGGAAGTTGAAGCGAAACTATAACGAGGTTGGTCCTGGGGGCCGCGCCACCCGCTGTGGGACATGCCAGGGCTGCCTCCATGAGGGCGACTGCAGCACCTGCTTCAACTGCCTGGACAAGCCCAAGTTTGGAGGGCCCAACACCAGACGCCAGTGCTGTGTGTAAGTGACTGTACCTAGAATTGTAGCCGTTGCTCCAACTTCTCATCCTCTCATGGACACGCACTCAGGCACACACAGTCTTTTTCATTTCTAGAGTCAGCTCTAGTTGTCCTGTATGCAAATTGAACATGGCACCCTTTTTTAAAATGATGATAATAAATATTTCCCTGTGCCACCAGGTTAAAACGATGTGTTCGGATTGAGGCGAGGAAAGTAAAGCGCGGCATCAAGCCATTCGCAGGTTTGTAGGTGTTCTTATGTTGAATACATCCGTGTTTATATAATTTTGCATTTCAAATCAAATCAAATTTTATTGGTCACATGCGCCGAATACAACAGGTGCAGACATTACAGTGAAATGCTTACTTACAGCCCTTAACCAACAGTGCATTTATTTTTAACAAAAAAAGTAAAAATAAAACAACAACAAAAAAAGTGTTGAGAAAAAAAGAGCAGAAGTAAAATAAAATAACAGTAGGGAGGCTATATATACAGGGGGGGTACCGGTGCAGAGTCAATGTGCATGGACACTGGCTAGTTGAGATAGTTGAATTAATATGTACATGTGGGTAGAGTTAAAGTGGCTATGCATAAATAATTAACAGAGTAGCAGCAGCGTAAAAAGGATGGGGTGGGGGGGGGGGGGCAGTGCAAATAGTCCGGCTAGCCATGATTAGCTGTTCAGGAGTCTTATGGCTTGGGGGTAGAAGCTGTTGAGAAGTCTTTTGGACCTAGACTTGGCACTCCGGTACCGCTTGCCGTGCGGTAGCAGGGAGAACAGTCTATGACTAGGGTGGCTGGAGTCTTTGACAATTTTGAGGGCCTTCCTCTGACACCGCCTGGTATAGAGGTCCTGGATGGCAGGAAGCTTGGCCCCAGTGATGTACTGGGCTGTACGCACTACCCTCTGTAGTGCCTTGCGGTCGGAGGCCAAGCAGTTGCCATACCAGGCGGTGATGCAACCAGTCAGGATGCTCTCGATGGTGCAGCTGTAGAATTTTTTGAGGATCTGAGGACCCATGCCAAATCTTTTCAGTCTCCTGAGGGGGAATAGGCTTTGTCGTGCCCTCTTCACGACTGTCTTGGTGTGTTTTGACCATGATAGTTTGTTGGTGATGTGGACACCAAGGAACTTGAAGCTCTCAACCTGTTCCACTACAGCCCCGTCGATGAGAATGGGGGCGTGCTCAGTCCTCTTTTTTTTCCTGTAGTCCACAATCATCTCCTTTGTCTTGGTCACGTTGAGGGAGAGGTTGTTGTCCTGGCACCACACGGCCAGGTCTCTGACCTCCTCCCTATAGGCTGTCTCATCGTTGTCGGTGATCAGGCCTACCACTGTTGTGTCGTCGGCAAACTTAATGATGGTGTTGGAGTCGTGCCTGGCCATGCAGTCATGGGTGAACAGAGAGTACAGGAGGGGACTGAGCACGCACCCCTGAGGGGCCCCCGTGTTGAGGATCAGTGTGGCAGATGTGTTGTTACCTACCCTTACCACCTGGGGGCGGCCCGTCAGGAAGTCCAGGATCCAGTTGCAGAGGGAGGTGTTTAGTCCCAGGATCCTTAGCTTAGTGATGAGCTTAGAGGGCACTATGGTGTTGAATGCTGAGCTGTAGTCAATGAATAGCATTCTCACGTAGGTGTTCCTCTTGTCCAGGTGGGAAAGGGCAGTGTGGAGTGCAATAGAGATTGCATCATCTGTGGATCTGTTGGGGCGGTATGCAAATTGGAGTGGGTCTAGGGTTTCTGGGATAATGCTGTTGATATGAGCCATGACCAGCCTTTCAAAGCACTTCATGGCTACAGACGTCAGTGCTACGGGTCGGTAGTCATTTAGGCAGGTTATCTTAGAGTCCTTGGGCACGGGGACTATGGTGGTCTGCTTGAAACATGTTGGTATTACAGACTCAGTCAGGGACATGTTGAAAATGTCAGTGAAGACACTTGCCATTTGTCCTTTAGCAGATGCTCTTATCCAATTATTGCATTCATCTTAAGATAACTAGTTGAGACAACATATCACAATTGTATCAAGTACATTTCCCCTGAAAGTATTTAACAGCAATGTCAGTGCTAGTAGGAAAAGACAAGTGTCTTTTTTTTGGGAGTGGGGCATTGGGGGCACCATGAGTTATTTAAGATACTCTTCAAAGAGGGAGGGTTTCAGACGTTTTTGGAATATGGGCAGGGATTCCGCTGTCCTGACTTTACGGGGAAGCTTGTTCCACCGTTGGGTTGCCAGGACAGAGAAGAGTTTTGACTGGGCTGAAAGGGATCTGCCCTCCTGTAGGGGTGGGAGGGCCAAGAGACCAGATGTGGCGGAACGGAGTGCTCGGGTTGAGATGTAGGGTTTGAGCATAGCCTGAAGTTGATGGGCAGTTCCCCATGCTGCTCCGTAGGCAAGCACCAGGGTCTTGAAGAGGATGGATCATTTACTAATGAATAACTCCACTTGTGTGTTTTTGCTCTTACGACCAAAAACATTGAATCCGTTAACTGAAAGACACACTAGAACACTGTGGCCTGCCTCATGGCCCAAATATTCAGCCAGTGTTTTTAGCTTTACCACTGGGCTTCTCTTTGTCGTGCAGTCCTTTCGAGGCGGCGGCGCCAGTCGTCAGCTAATGGCCTTCAGTCCAGCAATGATGAGTGGTCGGAATCCTGGGGAGAGGCAGAGGTGGCGTCGGCCCCGTCAACCCTTGGAGGCTGCCTGAGCCCTTCCAGGAAGCAGCCGAGGCGGAACGTGGTGCCGCGCTCCTACAGCAGCCTGCTGAAGTCCGACTCGGACTCGGACACAGGCGGAGAAGCCGCGGTCAATAGTCCTGTAAAGAATCCTGTCGCTCCCAGCAGCCAAGGTAACGCCGTACACCGGGATAGGAGCCGTACTGTATGGATTAAAATATAGGTTGATGCACATTCGGTCTCTCCTTTTGAGTTGGACCACAACAAGATCCATTGAACTCCATCCTTGAAATGGAGTGATTTGACAGGTAGAATTGAAGGATGTATAGCCATTAGCCAAGCAGATCAGAAGATTAGGGGTGGATGTTGGAGACCATAGTAATTGAGATTAAATATGACTGTGATTGAGGATGGAAGTGCAGGTCCTAAATAAATGTTTTTGAGTGGTTTCAGGGTATTGGTTTGAGTATTTATGTTTTAAAACCCATTTGCTCTCTGACGGATGCTGCTCCCTCTGATGACCCAGTGCCCAGTGAAGTTGTAAGGCTCCGCAAACCTGGGCCACCCAAAGGACTGCCGGGCCGACGCAGAGCCGACAAGGTAATGACTCGTATAACTCTCTGTTCTCATGTTGGAAAAGCTTACGCCTTTCACATTCATCCCTGATGCATGCATTATACCTTAAATAACTGCTCCTCTGGAATCTTCCTTAATGTTTTTCTCAAACTTAATCTAATCCTTTATGGTCCATAGATGCCGTGACTCTTTCCATGTTTCTCTTGACTGGTATGACCTATGATTTCTTTCTCGCTCTCTCTAACATCGTTGACTACTGTTGGTGATTGGACCTCTTTCTTTTCCTCTGGTTTGACTTGGCATGCCTTAGCTCTGTGATCGGGCTTATCTAACCCTCTCTTAACTCTTCTCCTTCACTTCTCTTATCAACACTTTTTTTTTTTCTCAAAGCCAAAGGTGGTTTCGGTGGCTCTCCTTCATCTTTCCTCTGCCTTGGCCCGCCGCTTAGCATGTGACCGTGCTCGTGCTGTAACGCTGGTCGCCCTCTCAATGGCTTAAGCAGTCCCCCCCCCCCCCCCTTCACATGCACAGGGGAGCAACTCCGAGGAGCACCGCCAAGAGCTGTTGGTTACAGAGGGCCACCTAGCAAGGAGCCCCAGCGAGCCCTGCCCACCCAGGATCCCACCGCTGCGGTTACGGTGGCTGCTGCAGGTGCAGCTGCAGCGTCTGCCCCCATTTGTGGTGCAGTCAGTCCTGCAGAGGGACGAGGAGTCGGGGGAGGAGGAGTCTTTGCAGGAAGAGGAGACGACTGTTGTTAAAGAGGGAGAGCAACAACACAATCCCAGAATTGATCCCCACTATGTCCTTCGTTCCCAGAATGCCGTGGAAAACACGTCAACGAACATCCTCACCGCGCTAACCAACGGACTCTCCCAAAAGGGCCACTTGAAGACCGGGACGCACAGGATCCGCGTAGACTTTAAGGTGTAACTCTCTCACACTCACTCACTCTCCCTCCCATATAAACTTTCTTAAAAATGATGTGAAATTGTTTATTTTCTTATGAACTCATTGCCAACTGTCTTTCTTTCTCCTTCTTTGTCGCTCATATACTCTTAATAAACATTTTATTTTGCAGTCGTTCATTAACTAATTGTTTCTCTCCCTCTTCTTTCTCCCAGGAGGACTGTGCCATCCAGAACGTGTGGTTGATGGGCGGTCTGAGTATCCTCACCTCTGTCCCCGTCACCCCTCAGCCTGTCTGTCTGCTCTGTGCCAGCAAAGGACACCATGAGGTAATCATGGAAATGCATCCACAGAATATTCAGTGCCTGTGTTTGCAGTATTATCATTAGAATAATCACATTTCATTGTAGATAAGTATTACTCTGACCATTTTGAGGAAACAAATTAACTAGGAAGCACACAGGAGACTCCATAGGTTTACTGAATAGCTACACTGGGTTGTCTGGAAAACAGTAGGTTTAGTGCAATATGTGTTCTCCTGATTTTGACTGCCTTCTGCCTTTCCACCTTCCCTCAGATGATCTACTGCCAGGTGTGCTGCGAACCCTTCCACAGCTTCTGCCTCTGGCCCGAAGAGCGCCCCCAAGAGGAGAACAAGGAGAACTGGTGCTGCCGCCGCTGCAAGTTCTGCCACGTGTGCGGTCGCAAGAGCAAGAACAACAAGGTGTGTATGGTCAGCAGGATCTGAGATTCAGTAGTCTAGTGTTTTTTCACCCCCACTTTCAAATTGTATACGTACTATTTCTTCCTTTAGCCTGTGTTGCAGTGCAGGAGGTGTCAGAACTGCTACCACCCCTCCTGTCTGGGACCCACCTACCCAAAGCCCATCAACTGTAACATGCCCTGGGTAAGTATCAGGAATTTAATATATATTACAGTTTAGCTTCTCTTCTCCCCATTCTGATTTATTACCATGTTTTTCACTGTACTGTGGGTCAATACCATAAAATGCAAGTGTATTGTCCAGTTTGCATAAGTGCCTTGCTCAAGGGCACAACAATAGTGGATTCCAGTAATGATCTGAAACCAGCAATCCTCAGTTCTCAGCCAGTTCAGTTCCCACATTTCTTCGCCCAACCTGGGACTTGAACCAGCGACCTTCCGGTTACTGGTCCATCTCTCTAACCTCTGGGCTACCTGCCCCCGTGTCCTAGGTGTGTATGACGTGTATCCGGTGTAAGAGCTGTGGAGTGACCCCAGGGAAGACCTGGGACATGGCCTGGAACCACGAGCAGGACCTCTGTCCTGACTGCAGCACCCTCCACAGCAAAGGTAGGATCTCAGTGAGTCACACAGAGACACGTCACAAGTCAACCAAGGTTGGGTCGGAGCAAGGTATAGACAATCTCCAGGAACAGGCCAAGAAGAGAGGGATGAGGGCAGTTGTATAGATGGACTGATACTTGGTCAGGATCTCACTGTCATTTAGGGCTGACCCCAATTAGTCGATTGTTTGGTCGATAGGCTATTGGTCGACATTTTATATTTTTTGTTTTGTAGACCAGCAGCAAATATATATATTTTTTATGCCACACGAGACACCTATCTGATTCGCGGCCATCTCCGTTAACTAATCCATTGCGTAGGCCGAGACTAATCCATTGCGGATGGCACAGTCCAAGAAGAAGGGAAGTGTGGCTAAGATGCTCAATGCACGTCTTTCTCCAGAATGCGCTCTCTCCCGCCAATTTGTGCACATTCATTGTTTGTTAACTTCATTGTATCAAATCGAATGATTCTTAGTGTCTGTCAATTCCACATTACATATCACCAGTAGTACATTTACCGTTAATTCCTATGAATTCTAATCTACAATGTTTGTTTATGGTAATCCTAGTGGCGCAGTGGTCTAAGGCACTGCATCGCAGTGCTAGCTGTGCCTCTAGAGATCCTGGTTCGAATCCAGGCTCTATCGTAGCCGGCGGCGACCGGGAGACCCATGGGGCGGCGCACAATTGGCCCAGCGTCGTCCAGGGTAGGGGAGGGAATGGCCGGCAGGGGATGTAGCTCAGTTGGTAGAGCATGGCGTTTGCAACGCCAGTGTTGTGGGTTCGATAAAATCATGTATGCGCTAACTGTAAGTCGCTCTGGATAAGAGCGTCTGCTAAATGACATAAATGTTAATGCATTCAATATATTATTATTCCAGTCTTTTACCATTCTCATTGTCAGAGTGGACACGTTGTTTGCAGACTGCACAACCTATGCTTGTGAGAAACAGGTTTTAGTTTATTTCATTCCATTTACGAGTTTTGTCAATTTAGTCATTGTCTTTTGTTTGGAGAGCTCCTGTCAATGTTGAGTAAAAACTCGACGTACCAAGTTGCGCACTTTTTGGAAGCGAACCACTATTTCGGCCCTTCGCTATATCGGCATCGAACGCGTCACCCTCCCTAGGAGAGGGGGTGACCTTGACAATTTATTATTAAAACGAGAGGCCGCTTGGATCTTTAATTAAAGACCCTTGCCCCCTTCGGTCTCAACGTGGAGTTTGATCTGAAGCCATTCTTGTGATTGTTTTTTTGCTATCCATTGTAAATAATGTTTGTAGGCCTATGTAGCCAAATTGTATCTATGGTCGTATGTTATCCATTTATGCTTTTTTATATGTTCTATTTATATCTGTAAATCAACCAATGAAATCAAGCAGTTTGCATCAGTTGCTGGGACTGCTTCTCTCTGTCCAGTGACCCTGCCGACCAAGGACGGGTCTGAGGAACTATTTGGCGTAGCAGCCAGCTAGCTGCCTATCAAGCTAGTGAGGTTTTCTTGAGGGCTTGAATGCAGCCCGTGACGCAGTTAGCCATTGTGGCTGGGACTGCGGATTGTCCTGGGTTTGTGGCTGTCTAGATCCCTGCTGTTTGTTGTGTTTTCAATCTTCCCTGTGACCTGCCCTGTCTGGAAGTGCGAGGAGTAACAGTGTAACCTACGTTGCTAGCTACCATGACAAAGCCCAAAGCTGGTGTGAGTACCGTTAAGGACAGTGGTGTCTCTATCACAGGTGAAGGATCTTTTAAATGAACAAAAATAGTTCTACAAGCAGTTGTTACAACAACAACAAAATAGCTTCAAGTGTTTTGTCCAAATACTGGTAGATTCAACTAATAAAATAATGGACGACCTGACCAGAGAGGTCCAGGACCTGAAGAACAGTTTGCAGTTCTCCCATGGTCAGCTCGATGAGTTGAAACAGGAGAATGGCAAGATGACAGCAATCTGTAAGTCATTGAGAGAGGACATCAGTTCTGTGTGTGTGTGTGTGTGAATCCATGATAACAATGACAGAGAAATCAGACTCGAGGGACAATCAAGGCTGAACAACGTGGTTGTAGACGGAATTGCAGAATCTCCACATGAGACCTGGACGGAGTCTGAGGACAAAGTGAGGGAAATGAATTCTGAGAAATTGAAGATGGACCACAGGAAGATTGAGGTGGAGTGCACCCACAGGACTGGAAAACCCACCACCGGCCTAGGTGACAGGCCCAGGCCGATAGTGGTCAAGTTCCTGAGGTTCAAGGACAAGTAAGCTGTTCTGGAAAGAGCCAAGAACTTAAGAGGAACGTACAGTTGAAGTCGGAAGTTTACATATACCTTAGCCAAATACCTTTTTAAATCCAGTTTTTCACAATTCCTGACATTTAATCCTTGTACAAGTTCCCTGGTCAGTTAGGATCACCACTTTATTTTAAGAATGTGAAATGTCAGAATAATAGTAGAGAGAATTATTTATTTAAGCTTTTATTTCTTTCATCACATTCCCAGTGGGTCCAAAGTTTACATACACTCAATTAGTATTTGGTAGCATTGCCTTTAAATTGTTTAACTTGGGTCAAACGTTTCGGGTAGCCTTACACAAGCTTCCCACAATAAGTTGGGTGAATTTTGGCCCATTCCTCCTGACAGAGCTGGTGTAACTGAGTCAGGTTTGTAGGCCTCCTTGCTCGCACACGCTTTTTCAGTTCTGCCCACACATTTTCTATAGGATTGAGGTCAGGGCTTTGTGATGGCCACTCCAATACCTTGACTTTGTTGTCCTTAACCCATTTTGCCACAACTTTGGAAGTATGCTTGGGGTCATTGTCCATTTGGAAGACCCATTTGCGACCAAGCTTTAACTTCCTGACTGATGTCTTGAGATGTTGCTTCAATATATCCACATCATTTTTCTTCCACATGATGCCATCTATTTTGTGAAGTGCACCAGTCCCTCCTGCAGCAAAGCACCCCCACAGCATGATGCTGCCACCCCCGTGCTTCACGGTTGGGATGGTGTTCTTTGGCTTGCAAGCGTCCACCTTTTTCCTCCAAACATAATTATGGTCATTATGGCCAAACAGTTCTATTTTTGTTTCATCAGACCAGAGGACATTTCTCCAAAAAGTACGATCTTTGCTGTTGTTCTGGGATTGATTTGCACTTTTCGCACCAATGTACGTTCATCTCTAGGAGACAGAACGCGTCTCCTTCCTGAGCGGTATGACGGCTGCGTGGTCCCATGGTGTTTATACTTGCATATTATTTGTACAGATGAACGTGGTACCTTCAGGCGTTTGGAAATTGCTCCCAAGGATGAACCAGACTTGTGGAGGTCTACACATTTTTTTCTGAGGTCTTTGCTGATTTCTTTTGATTTTCCCATGATGTCAAGCAAAGAGGCACTGAGTTTGAAGGTATGCCTTGAAATACATCCACAGGTACACCTCCAATTGATTCAAATGATGTCAATTAGCCTATCAGAAGCTTCTAAAGCCATGACATCATTTTCTGGAATTTTCCAAGCTGGTTAAAGGCACAGTCAACTTAGTGTATGTAAACTTCTGACCCACTGGAATTGTGATACAGTGAATTATAAGTGAAATAATCTGTCTGTAAACAATTGTTGGAAAAATTAAGTGTGTCATGCACAAAGTAGATGTCCTAACCGACTTGCCAAAACTATAGTTTGTTAACAAGAAATGTGTGGAGTGGTTGAAAAACGAGTTTTAATGACTCCAACCTAAGTGTATGTAAACTTCCGACTTCAATTGTATATCTTCCTCAACGAGGGCTATCCTGAAGCTGTGTGCCAGAAGAGGAAAGAACTTATCCCAGCCATGAAAGCTGCCAGAGCACGTGGGGACATTGCTTACATCAGCTATGACAGTCTCATTGTCCAACCTCCCTCCCAGAAGCCTGGAAGTGATAAGATAGCCAAGCCTATGGGTTCGTAGCGTCAACCCCACAGTGCGCACACACACACACCAATTGATTAATGGACTGCTGAATGTATATTTTCGCTTGCTTTGTTTGCTCTTTTCCATGTTATGTCTATCTCTGATAAGCTATCCAGGGAAGGGCTGAAAATAGCCCATATTGATATATGTAGCCTTAGCAAGTTATTGATTTCATTAACCTTATTTCTAACATCAGATAACATTAATAAATTAGCTATTTCTGAGACTCACTTACATAATTAATTTGATGATACAGAAGTAGCAATACAAGGATATAACATCTATAGAAGAGACAAATGCTTATGGGTCAGGTGTTGCTGTATATAGTCAGAGCCATATCCCTGTAATGCTTAGAGAAGATCTTATGTCACATTTTATTGAAGTGTTGTGGTTGCAGGTTCACTTGGCACATCTAAAGCCTTTTCTTTTGGGTTGTTGCTATAGGCCACCAAGTGCTAACAGTCAGTATCTCTAAATAATGTGTGTGAAATGCTTGATAGTGTATGCGATGTAAACAGGGAGGTGTACTTTCTTGGGGACTTGAATATTGACTGGTTTTCTTCAACCTGTCCACTCAAGAGGAGCTTCTCACTGTAACCAGTGCATGTGTTACGTTCCCCAGTTTCTATGTTGTGGTTTGTATTTTCAATCTGGTTCAGGTTATTAATCAACCTACCAGGGTGTTTATAAACACTACAGGAACAAGATCATCCACATGTATCGATCACATTTTTACTAATACTGTAGAACTTTGTTCTAAGCTGTATCCATACCCATTGGATGCAGTGATCACAATATAGTGGCTATATCCAGGAAAGCCAAAGTTCCAAAAGCTGGGCCTAAAATAGTGTATAAGAGATCATACAAAATATTTTGCTGTGACTCTGATGTGGATGATATTTGTTGGTCTGATGTGATTTAATAAGGAGCATCCAGACGCTGCACTTGATTAATTTATAACATTTCTTCTTCCAATTATTGATAAACATGCACCTGTTAAGAAAACTGACTGTTAGAACTGTTAAGGCTCCATGGATTGATGACGATTGAAAAACTGTATGGTTGAAAGAGATGGGGCAAAAGGAGTGGCTAATAAGTCTGGCTGCACATCTGACTGGCTGACTTACTGCAAATTGAGAAATTATGTAACTAAACTCTACAAAAAGAAGAAACTGTATTATGAAGCCAAGATCAATGATATAAAGAATGATGGAAAAAAGTACTTTAAATGAAATTATGGGCAGAAAGACATTCAACTCCATCTTTCATCGAATCAGATGGCTTATTCATCACAAAACCATTTGATGTTGCCAATTATTTTAATGATTACTTAATTGGCAAAGTGGGCAAACTTAGGCAGGAACTGCCAACAACGAACAGTGAGCCATCGTATTCATGCATAAAAAAACAAATAATGAAAGAAAAGAATTGCAAGTTTTAATTTTGTAAAAGTTTAGTGTAGGAGAAGTGGGGAAATTATTGTTATCGATCAATAATGACAAACCTCCTGGCATTGACAACTTAGATGGAAAGCTACCGAGGATGGTAACTGACTCTATAGCCACTCCTATCTGTCATATATTTAATCTAAGCCTAGAGGAAAGTCTTTGTCCTCAGGCCTGGAGGGAAACCAAAGTCATTCCTCTAACCAAGAGTGGTAAAGCTGGTTCTAACAGCAGACTATAAGCTTGCTGCCAGCTCTTAGCAAACTGTTGGAAAAAATTGTTTGACCAAATACAATGTTGTTAATCTGTTTACAGAGAAATAGCAGACTTTCAGCATGCTTATAGAGAAGGGCACTCAACATGTACTGCACTGACACTGATGATTGGTTGAAAGCAATTGATAAGAAGATTGTGGGAGCTGTACTGTTAGATTTCAGTGCAGCCTTTGATATTATTGACCATAACCTGTTGTTGAAAAAAACGTATGTGTTATGGCTTTTCAACCTCCGCCATATCATGGATTCAGAGCTATCTATCTAATAGAACTCAGAGGGTTGTCTTTAATGGAAGCTTCTCTAATGTCAAATATGTGTGTTGTACTGCAGGGCAGCTCTCTAGGCCCTCTACTCTTTTCTATTTTTACCAATGACCTACCACTGGCATTAAACAAAGCATGTGTGTCCATGTATGCTGATGATTCAACCATATATCTATCAGCAGCCACTGCTTTTGCAGTCACTGAAACCCTTAACAAAGAGGGGTGGCCAGTAATAAACCAGCCCTGAACATCTCTAAAACTAAGAGCATTGTATTTGGTACAAATCATTCCTTAAGTTCTAGACCTCAGCTGAATCTGGTAATGAATGAGAAAAAGAAAAAAAGTGTATTCACTCACTAACTGTAAGTCGCTCTGGATAAGAGCGTCTGCTAAATGACAAATGTAAAATGAATGGTGTGGCTGTTGAACAAGTTGAGGAGACTAAATTATTTGGCGTTACCTTAGATTGTAAACTGTCATGATCAAAACATATACAATGGCTTGCGAAAGTATTCACCCCCCTTGGCATTTTTCCTATTTTATTGCCTTACAACCTGGAATTTAAAATGGATTTTTTGGGGGGTTTGTATCATTTGATTTACACAACATGCCTACCACTTTGAAGTTGCCAAATATTTTTTCTTGTGAAACAAACAAGAAATAAGACAAAAAAACTGAACTTGAGCGTGCATAACTATTCACCCCCCCCCCCCCCCCAAAGTCAATACTTTGTAGTGACACCTTTTGCAGCACTCCATCACTCTCCTTCTTGGTAAGAATCTCAAATATAAAATATATTTTGATTTGTTTAACACTTTTTTGGTTACTACATGATTCCATATGTGTTATTTCATAGTTTTGATGTCTTCACTATTATTCTACAATGAAGGATATAGTAAAAATAAAGAAAAACCCTGGAATGAGTAGGTGTGTCCAAACTTGACTGGTACTGTAAAAACAAAAAAGATACCTTATTTACATAAGTATTCAGACCCTTTGCTATGAGACTAGAAATTTCCATTGATCATCCTTGATGTTTCTACAACTTGATTGGAGTCCACCTGTGGTAAATTCAATTGATGATTTGGAAAGGCACACACCTGTCTATATAAGGTCCCACAGTTGACAGTGCATGTCAAAGCAGAAACCAAGCCATGAGGTCGAAGGTATTGTCCATAGAGCTCCGAGACAGGATTGTGTCGAGGCACAGATCTGGGGAAGGGTACCAAAAAATGTTTGCAGCGTTGAAGGTCCCCAAGAACACAGTGGCCTCCATCGGTCTTAAATGGAAGAAGTTTGGAACCACCAAGACTCTTTCTAGAGCTGGCCGCCTGACCAAACTGAGCAATCGGGGGGAGAAGGGACTTGGTCAGGTAGGTGACCAAGAACCCGATGGTCACTCTGACAGAGCTCCAGAGTTCCTCTGTGGAGATGGGAGAACCTTTCATAAGGACAACCAAGCGTCACGTCTGGAGGAAGCCTGGCACCATCCCTATGGTGAAGCATGGTTGTGGCAGCATCATGCTGTGGGGATGTTTTTTAGAGGATGACCAGTCAGGATCGAGGGAAAGATGAACGGGGCAAAGTACAGAGAGATCCTTGATGAAAACCTGCCCCAGAGCTCTCAGGACATCAGACTGGGGTGAAGGTTCACCTTCCAACAGGACAACACCCTAATCACGCAGCCAAGACAACGCAAGACTGGCTTCGGGACAAGTCTCTGAATGTCCTTGACTGGCCCAGCCAGAGCCCGGACTTGAACCCGATGGAACATCTCTGGAGAGACCTGAAAATAGCTGTGCAGCGACGCTCCCCGTCCAACCTGACAGAGCTTGAGAGGATCTGCAGAGAAGAACGGGAGAAACTCCCAAGTTTGTGCCAAGCTTGTAGCGTCATACCCAAGAAGACTTGCGGCTGTAATCGCTGTCAAAGGTTCTTCAACAAAGTACTGAGGAAAGGGTCTGAGTTCTTATGTAAATGTGATATTTCTGTTTATTTTTAATACATTGGCAAACATTTTTTTTGCTTTGTCATTATGGGGTGTTGTGTGTAGATTGATGAGAAAAAACAAACGTGGATAACGTCAAGGGGTCTGAATACTTTCCGAATGCACTGTATAGTGGTTTTTACACACAGGGTGTGTCTATTTATGGAAAAATACACATTTTAAAATGTCGACCAATCGTCGAAAGAACAGATTACTTTCTGTCAACCCCACAATTTTTTTTTCGGACAGCCATGTTATTAAATTATTATTTAAAAAAATCATTGATCTGATTTTTTTTGGGGGGGGGGTTTCTTTACAAGGGATCTTCTGCACCGTCTGCTCCAAGTGTTACGAGGAGAACGACCACAACAACAGCCAGATGATGGAGTGCTCCAGGTGTAGCCACTGGGTGCATTCTAAATGTGAAGGACTCTCTGGTGAGTGACACTAATATTTCAGCTTTAAAACGGTCTTTATCAAGGGGATGTACAACAGGGGTGGCCAACACTCATCAAAGTGTTACTGGGTATACAGGCTTTTGATCTCGCCCTACACACACACACACACACCTAATCCAGCTAATCAAGGTTCCAAGGAGCATCTCATTGGTAGAATCAGGTGTGTTAGAGATAAGGTCTGGAACCAAATCCTGCAAGAGGGTAGCTCTCAAGGCCACCCCTGTTAACCGTATGTGTAGGGGAAGATGCCACCTCAACTAAAATGTAGGCCCTAACTTGAGGGATCAAAACAACTATCCCACTATAAACCCACTCCATTACATTAAAATTCTGCCTCTCTTCTCTTCTGTCTCCCAGACGACCTGTATGAGATCATGTCCAGCCTGCCAGAGAGCGTAGTATACACCTGTGAACCCTGCAGCCAATCACAGCCCAGATTCTGGAAGGAGGAGCTGAAGGAAAGGCTGAGGGCAGGGCTAGAGAAAGTGCTGACCAACCTCCTTTCTGACTCCTCCGCCCAGCACCTAATCACCTGCAGGGAGGTAATGTCTGCCGCCGTGTAGCTCAGTTGGTAGAGCAAGGCGTTTGCAACGCCAGGGTTGTGGGTTCGATTCCCACGTGTGGCCAGTATGAAAATGTATGCACTCGCTAACTGTAAGTCGCTCTGGATAAGACCGTCTGCTAAATGACTAAAATGTCAAATGTAAATGTAAAGACGTCACGAGTCAGACACTCGTAACATACTCTCTTGCTTTCACAACATGGGTTGTTTCTGTATCCAAAATCAAGTATAAAAAGTGTATTTAAAACTTTTCCACGTTTAGACTGTCTTATGGATTGTATATCCCTGACCCTCTGACGATGGTCTCCATTTTACTGTACTATGCTGTTCTTTTGTTTTCTGCAGTGTGAGGAGTCCACGGAACTAGATGCTTTCTGGGACCAACAGCAGCCCATCTGCGACCTACATGCCGTTGGTCAAAAATGTACAGGGGGCCAGTACACTTCACTGGTGAGAGACCCCAGTCCTTTATTAACATTTGAATTATGCCACATAAAAACTATTAAGACCTAGAGGTTATTGTTTTTGCTCTCAGGGCATCAATGTTCCGCTGTGAATCGTGTAGCTCTTTTCAGACCACATTCTGATCACTTCATATACAGTTTGGTAATTTAGCAGATGCTCTTAGATGTTCTAATGAGAGGAACAAAATCCCACATATTGTACAACAATACAGCCGTCTCCTAAACTTGACACCTGTTTTTCCTGCTCTTGTCCATCAATCAGAAATCATTCCATGAGGATGTTGTCGTGGTGATGAGGAAGTGGCTGAAGGAGGAGGAGTCTCTCCCTGAGGACCTGAGGCCCACCTGTTTGGCCAGGTCTCACTACCTGAAGGTTAGTAGAAAGACCTTTCCTCCATTAATGCTATAGACATTTATTATGGGCCATACTGGGCCATATCATTATTTTTTATTTATTTACTCAGATTAGTAGAGTGTCTGCATTAAAACATAAAATTTCTGAGCTCTTTTATGATATTTTATTAATTGCCTCATTTTTTAAAAATGTTACAGCCTTATTCTAAAATTGATTAAAAACATTTTTTACCCCATATTGACAAATATTTTTTTAGTGTATATATATATATATATATATATATATATATATATATATATATATATATATATACACACACACACACACACACACACACACACACACACACACACAGTGGGGGAAAAAAAGTATTTAGTCAGCCACCAATTGTGCAAGTTCTCTCACTTAAAAAGATGAGAGAGGCCTGTAATTTTCATCATAGGTACACGTCAACTATGACAGACAAATTGAGAAAAAAAAATCCAGAAAATCAATTTATTTGCAAATTATGGTGGAAAATAAGTATTTGGTCACCTACAAACAAGCAAGATTTCTGGCTCTCACAGACCTGTAACTTCTTCTTTAAGAGGCTCCTCTGTCCTCCACTCGTTACCTGTATTAACGGCACTTGTTTGAACTTGTTATCAGTATAAAAGACACCTGTCCACAACCTCAAACAGTCACACTCCAAACTCCACTATGGCCAAGACCAAAGAGCTGTCAAAGGACACCAGAAACAAAATTGTAGACCTGCACCAGGCTGGTAAGCAGCTTGGTTTGAAGAAATCAACTGTGGGAGCAATTATTAGGAAATGGAAGACATACAAGACCACTGATAATATCCCTCGATCTGGGGCTCCACGCTAGATCTCACCCCGTGGGGTCAAAATGATCACAAGAACGGTGAGCAAAAATCCCAGAACCACACGGGGGGACCTAGTGAATGACCTGCAGAGAGCTGGGACCAAAGTAACAAAGCCTACCATCAGTAACACACTACGCCGCCAGGGACTCAAATCCTGCAGTGCCAGACGTGTCCCCCTGCTTAAGCCAGTACATGTCCTGGCCCGTCTGAAGTTTGCTAGAGTGCATTTGGATGATCCAGAAGAGGATTGGGAGAATGTCATATGGTCAGATGAAACCAAAATATAACTTTTTGGTAAAAACTCAACTCGTCGTGTTTGGAGGACAAAGAATGCTGAGTTGCATCCAAAGAAAACCATACCTACTGTGAAGCATGGGGGTGGAAAAATCATGCTTTGAGGCTGTTTTTCTGCAAAGGGACCAGGACGACTGATCCGTGTAAAGGAAAGAATGAATGGGGCCATGTATCGTGAGATTTTGAGTGAAAACCTCCTTCCATCAGCAAGGGCATTGAAGATGAAACGTGGCTGGGTCTTTCAGCATGACAATGATCCCAAACACACCGCCCGGGCAACGAAGGAGTGGCTTCGTAATAAGCATTTCAAGGTCCTGGAGTGGCCTAGCCAGTCTCCAGATCTCAACCCCATAGAAAATCTTTGGAGGGAGTTGAAAGTCTGTGTTGCCCAGCGACAGCCCCAAAACATCACTGCTCTAGAGGAGATCTGCATGGAGGAATGGGCCAAAATACCAGCAACAGTGTGTGAAAACCTTGTGAAGACTTACAGAAAACGTTTGACCTGTGTCATTGTCAACAAAGGGTATATAACAAAGTATTGAGAAACTTTTGTTATTGACCAAATACTTATTTTCCACCATAATTTGCAAATAAATTCATTAAAAATCCTACAATGTTATTTTCTGGATTTTTTCTTTCTCATTTTGTCTGTCATAGTTGACGTGTACCTATGATGAAAATTACAGGCCTCTCATCTTTTTAAGTGGGAGAACTTGCACAATTGGTGGCTGACTAAATACTTTATTTCCCCACTGTATATATATATTTTTTCCTTATTTTTTTTCTTCTTAAAAACCTGAGTATTCAGACCCTTTGCTATGAGACTTGAAATTGAGCTCAGGTGCATCCTGTTTCCATTGATCATTACATTTACATTTACATTTTAGTCATTTAGCAGACGCTCTTATCCAGAGCGACTTACAGGAGCAAGTAGGGTTAAGTGCCTTGCTCAAGGGCACATCGACAGATTTTTCACCTAGTTGGCTCGGGGATTAGAACCAGCGACCTTTCGGTTACTGGCACAACGCTCTTAACCACTAAGCTACCTGCCTCCCCATCATCCTTGAGATGTTTCTGTAACTTGATTTGGTGTCCACCTGTGGTAAATTCAATTGATTGGACATTATTTGGAAAGCACACAGTGCATGTCGGAGCAAAAACCAAGCCAAGAGGTCGAAGGAATTGTCCGTAGAGCTCCGAGACAGGATTGTGTCGAGGCACATATCTGGGGAAGGGTACCAAAAAATGTCTGCAGCGTTGAAGGTCCCCAAGAACACAGTGGCCTCCATCGTTCTTAAATGGAAGAAGTTTGGAACCACCAAGACTCTTTCTAGAGCTGGCCGCCTGACCAAACTGAGCAATCGGGGGGAGAAGGGCCTTGTTCAGGGAGGTGACCAAGAACCCAATAGTCACTCTGACACAGCTCTAGAGTTCCTCTGTGGAGATGGGGGAACTTTCCAGAAGGACAACTATCTCTGCAGCACTCCACCAATCAGGCCTTTGTTTTAGTGGCCAGACAGAAGCCACTCCTCAGTAAAAGGCACATGACAGCCCGCTTGGAGTTTGCCAAAAGGCACCTAAAGGACTCTGACCATGAGAAACAAGATTCTCTGATCTGATGAAACCAATATTGAACTCTTTGGCCTCAATGCCAAGCGTCACGTCTGGAGGAAAGCTGGCACCATCCCTATGGTGAAGCATGGTGGTGGCAGCATCATGCTGTGGGGATGTTTTCAGCAGCAGGGACTGGGAGACTAGTAAAGTACAGAGAGATCCTTGATGAAAACTTGCTCCAGAGCGCTCAGGACCTCAGACTGGGGCGAAGGTTCACCTTCCAACAGGACAATGACCCTAAGCACACAGCCAAGACAACGCAGGAGTGGCTTCCTGATAAGTCTCTGAATGTCCTTGAGTGGCCCAGCCAGAGCCCAGACTTTAACCCAATTGAACATCTCTGGAGCGATGCTCCCCATCCATCCTGACAGAGTTTGAGAGGATCTGCAGAGAAGAATGGGAGAAACTCTCCAAATACAGGTGTGCCAAGCTTGTAGCGTCATACCCAAGAGGACTCAAGGCTGTAATTGCTGCCAAAAGTGCTTCAACAAAGTACTGAGTAAAGGTTCTGAATTCTTATGTAAATGTTATATTTCAGTTTTGTATTTTGTATAAATGTACAAACATTTCCAAGTCTGTTTTTGCTTTGTCATCATGGGGTATTGTGTGTAGATTGAGGGAAAAAAACTATTTAATCAATTTTAGAATAAGGCTGTAAAATGTGGAAAAAGTCAAGGGGTCTGAATACTTTCTGAATGCACTGTATCTATGTCCTTTCAGTTGCTGGAGGAGACTTTCAGTTGGTTTCATAGCCAGGATCAGAAAATGTGGGACCCAATCTCCAAAGATTTCCCAAGGTAAATGGATACACTATGTGTAGACAGTATGACTGTGTATGTTGTCGATTTTGACCGACGGATATTGTTGTTCTTTCTCACATTTCTGCCAAGAAGATAAACGAGCGAATCTCCCTGACCAAACCAACTATGACAATAAATAGTTTTACCTTCATAAAGATAAAGCAAGCATAGAATAATTATTTTTGAAAAGCTAGCAAAGAATACTTGTTCAAAAAAGCTCTGTGCTGAACAAGTCTTCCCCCCCCCCTTTCTTCTGTCTCAGTGGTATGCTCCCTGAGGCAGTTCTTCCTCCCTCTAAGGAGCACAGCTATGCACAGTGGCTGGAGAGGACGTACCAAGTTACCAGGGGTGCAGATTACCTCCAGCAGGGGAACCGCGTCCCTCCCCCATACTCAGTCACCACCTATCAGTCCCGGGCTCTGGAGGGCCTCCCACTCAAATCCCAAGGTATGGAGTCTTTGGTTTGTGTCCCAAATAGGGGGTCTGGTCATAGGCATAGGGCTCCGGTCAACAGTAGTGCACTATATAAGGAATAGGGTGCCATTTGGGACAAAGCCTATCTATCACTCCCTCTGTAAGCCTATGTCCTGGTCTCAAAGCAGACATGTAACCCTATTCACCGGCACACAAAATGTTTGTTGTGTGTAAAGTAATTGAGTGGAAGGACTGATGGTGATCTCGCTTTTTACTTCATCCTAACAATGTGAATGATCAATTATATGATTGATGAATGTGTTTGGTCTATCTGGTGTAGGTACAAATGGTGCTCTAACCAGGGCCCTGGAACTCGACTGGACCAAAGATGAGAGGCAGTGTACACTCTGCCAACAGTTTGGCGACGCCACACCCAACGTGAGTTTCCCTCCCCCCTCTGTACTGATCCCACACAGTAATTGTATTGATAAGGAGACGGGACACCATTGTGTTAGCTTCAGAATTTTTTTTACTAAGATAAAACCATACATAGAGCATTATGGGTACCGTAGTACAGTTTTTCTCAACTCCGGTCCTTGAGTACCTCAAACAGAACGTAACTTTATGACTAACTACTTCCCTGAAGGAGGGAAATGAGGAACAACATACTATGGGGGGAGTCGCGCACTCGTTACTTCGGTTGAAGGATCTACAATCACGCCTAACAAGGCCAATGAAATCCGCACCTTGCTGGAAGCTCTGCCTTCCACAGGTGATAAGCATGAGGCTTGGATTAATTCCTTCACTGAGCCCAGGAACGGGCAGTGCGGGGCCAAACAGGAGTTGTACCTCTTTCCCACCTTCAGGGAACAGTTGTTATAGTCAAAATGTTACGTTCCCTTTAATTCAGTCAACTTCAGTACAACATACTATGGGGAAATATAATCACGCCCCAAGCTGACCAACGGATACTAAATGAAACTGCCCATGGCAGACCACCCCGACCTGACCCCGCGAGATTCTGCATTTTGGGTATTGTGCAAACGGCACGCTGCTTAGTGACTTTCCCCTGTCCCAGCTGTAAGCACACTGGGCTACACTGGGAGCAGTGACATCCAAGCAATAAAACCTCACAAAAGTATGTGGTGATGCTCAACTCACTGCAGCACAAATATATCCTACACTCAACCCTTTAAACAATGCCGGACTCCTGGTGGAGTGGGCGCATACACCGCTAGTTAACCCTTGCCCCTTGCTGCAATATGCCGTGGAGATAGCCTCCACAATCCAGTGGAAGAGACGCTGCTTAGGGAGTGCCCTGCCACGAGCTGGATTAGCAAAATAGACAAAAAGCTGGTCACATAACCAGATATCCCGGGTCCATTCGATGTACATGCGTAAAGCTTGCACCGGACACAGGGCATTTGACCTCTGTTGCTCTTCAGAAGCAAAAGGAGTAGGTGAAAATGGAAATGGCTCAAAGCTAAGGACCTGTAGGACATAGCCATGACTTTCGGGGGGGAAGGCCGCATTTGGACGCAACGTCACCTTAGAGTGGCCCGGGGCGAACTGAGTACAGGACGTGTGTACCGATAACATGTTTAGCCAAAGTCATGAGCAGGGAGATTTTGTAGTAGAGGATCAGGGCCAAGTCCCATGTGGGCGCAATTGGTTTAGAGACCAGTCTGAGACAACCGCACAACCAGGATCCTGGATCTGACATAGAAACCTCTCTGATTACCTGTGTCTGGAGACGGGAGGTTATTCCCTCCCTCAAAACGGGCACTGAGGCCTCAACAGTCGACCTGATGACGTCACTGAAGCGTGGGGGACGTGCAACAAGTTGTAGCCTGTACCCCGACGTCACTGTTCGCATGATCCATAGCAAAACTGTGCATGCACCCCATTGTTTGTAGCCAACAGCGAGCCTCCCGTCAAGTGCCATTTGAAGGGGCGGTACGCCACCATATGGACTGGGAGAGATTTTGTTATTTTTCCCTTTCCAACACTCTCGACCACCGTGTGTCTGAATGTGGATAAGGGACACTTTTCATTGTACACACACGTGGGAGACGCAACACTTTTGACACTCGTGAACACTGTGGAACTTTGGGTTGACACAACTGTGTTTATGTGCCAAGGTTTGCCTGAAGCCAGGTCCACTCTGGGATCGGGGGCTCCGGCAATAGGTGAAGTACCCCGATTGGCATTGCCCCTTGGGGGTACTTCTGTCACAACGAGCCTCACTCAGTTTAGGCAGTAAGATGCGTCCCAGTAACCGACTGGCACCCAGCATTGGACCGCACGCATAAAAATAGATCCAGGGGAAAACCACTATCGTGACGGTTATCATACCAGTCATAGTTACCAGTGCCACGACATCTTTGAACCCAACTTATTACTCTCACCCTGGGGAGATTGATATACCCCTTGAACCCTGTGAACACCAAGGAACGCGGGGTAACAGAGGGTGGTTTAAACATGAACAAGCTTCCAAACTAAGTTGTGCTTCTGTGAGACTGTATAGCCTAGGTGAAGCCCTGCCCCTTATGGACACAGGGCTCCAGCAATGTCTGACGTAGCACCCCGTTTGGCTGTAACCAAATGTGGTGGCACTGACATCACAGTAATATTTTTGTGGTGGGGCTCACCGGTCAATCAGACACGTGCTAAGGCCCCTCGCTCTGAGGTTACCTGAGCCAAGTGCTCGGAGGCTGCTTCCTCATCTGAGGTGCCTGCATGCCCCGCTTCCTCCACTCCCTCCAACTCCAAGAATTTGAAATAGGAATGTCATTGCCATATTGCCGGGGGAAAGCTAGGAAGCTTAATTTGCCGGAAGTTATGCATGCTAACTGATGTTAGCCATGATAAGGCTTCTAGTCTAAGCTAGGCTAGCTAGCCTCTTTGACTGCAACACGGTCCATTTTAGAATAACCAAGCGACTTAACACTGGCTACGTACACTAAACAAGAGAGCTACCCAAGCAATTGCACCATTAGGAAGCCGGAATAGCTGGCAGTAGCTAGCTCGCCTTTGCACGTTAGCTAACCTGGCTAGCATGCTATGCAGCACTTGTTAGCTAGCCTGGTCTCGAAAGTCTATGTAGGACCGGATCACTGTGGTGGGACCAGGACCCTTCTGGGAAGAGAGGCAAGCGGTGCTTAATCAAGGCACACACAGGCAGCGGGGGGATATCCACAGAACCTGGTCACCCTCTCTCTTCGAGTAGCCTCCCATAACTGGCAACAGAGCGCACAGGAACCGGGAGACATTCAACCCGACCAACTACCCAACCCATCTCCGCGTTCCGCAACTCCGACTTAGTCGAGGTACGGGCACCCGGGAGAGGAAGTCATTATCGGAACCACCAAGCCCAGCCGTCCCCTAGTCTCGCACACAAACTGATTCGAGCGAGGGCAGCCTGCGCATGTGCCGAGACAGAAGACAACAAACATGGGTATCTTTTAATTAATTGGGGGCATGGTCGCGAACCTGAAACTGGCTTGTTATTCTTTGTCGTTTCGGTCTCGTTAGCCATCTTACCTATTGCTGAAGCCAGACCAAGCAATTAGAAGAATAACTAATTGTTTGTATGGTTCTCATAAGTTTCCTAATCATAAACTTCAGCACACAACGTCCAGGGGGTGAGCACGCTCTACAACTAAGGGACAGTTTAGTTGGCGCAACGTAAGTCAGTCTCGTGTTCCAATTGTTTGTTTTTGTACCGTGAAATGTTCCTGTTCACACCAAGGTGGAGAGCGGAATAATTCCAAGAATGGAAGGAGGGGCATCCAGCGAGCCGTATATTTCATTGGCCTTGTCGGGCGTGATTGTAGATCCTTCAACCGAAGTCGCGAGAGTGCGACTCCTCCATAGTGTGTTGTACCAAAGTTGACTGACTGAAAGGCATTTTTGTTGTAGCCGTACACCCGATTTTAAATTAGTCAACTAATCATCAAGTACTTGACTAGTTGAGTTACGTGTGTTCTATGCGGCTATTCTGTTTGGGGGTACTCAAGGATTGGAGTTGTATAACACTTCTGTAGGACATTATACCCACAGTAATGGTATTAGCAGCTATTCAGACATCCCAGAATGTTGTCTCAGGTCCACTCTAAATGTGAATGTCCTCATTTTTATTGAAGGACGCGGGCAGGCTCCTGTACCTGGGGCAGAACGAGTGGGCCCACGTTAATTGCTGCCTGTGGTCTGCTGAGGTGTACGAAGACAACGGAGCTCTACTCCAAGTACACAGTGCTGTCTCCAGGGGGCGCCACATGGTAAGAATGTGTAGACATCACCATAGTTGCGCCTCAAATGGCACCCTGTTTCCTATAAAGTGCAATACTTTTGACCAGGGCCCAAATTGGACTATGTAGGGAATAGGGTGACATTTTGGACACTTCCCACATCAAAGCTGGAGTACATCCTTACCCAATAGGCTTTGTATTCAGGCATAAGTGTGCAGTTGCCCATTTTTTAAACATTGTAATAAAATAAAATCAACTTTATTGTTCCAAAGATAGAATTGTCTTGTCAGGTCTGCTATGTCCATTTAGTTATAATGAGAATGTTTACTCTTCAGGGAGTTTTCTGCTAGTCGTTCTCATTCTCTGTTTTCTTTCCTCTTCTACTCATTCCACCTTTCTTCCCTACAGCGCTGTGAGCGTTGTGGCCAGGCGGGGGCGACGGTGGGCTGCTGTCTCTCATCCTGTCAGAGTAACTACCACTTCATGTGCGCCCGCGCCCGCAACTGTGTCTTCCAGGAGGACAGGAAGGTCTTCTGCTCCAGGCACCGCGATCTCGTCAGTGAGAAGGTGAACTTTTATGTATGGACTAATGAGGCATACACACACAGAAACAAACAGTCATCTTTCCAATGGTGAGCACCTCCACTTTAACTGTGACTTGTCAGCGGCATCCAAACTTCACACCTGGTGGCTTATTGTGTAGCGTTAGGGCCTATGTTATGTCTCCGGACACACACACACATACACACACCTACGTCTCAGGATTTACAGGCCCGTTTCCGCTCCTCTCCAGATGGTGTATGGGAATGGGTTTGAAGTTCTCCGGCGGGTCTACGTGGACTTCGAAGGGATCAGCCTCCGTAGGAAGTTTCTGACTGGCCTGGAGCCAGAGTCTATAAATATGACCATTGGTGAGTATGTGTACATCCCCAATGGCACTCTATTCACTATTTAGTGCACGGCTTTTAACCCTTTACACTCGTGGGAATTAGCCTATATGGATAGGGCTAAATTGAAATGTGTTTTACAGAAGAAATATGGAAAGCATATGCATACCAATGGTCGCAATTAAAAGAGAACAGTTTGGAGATTGTGGGGAAATTATTAGACTAACGGTGAGGACACAGCAGTTCACCTGACACAAGACTGAATCTAAACATTACACTGTGACTTTATGTGCATTTTACATTTACTGTACTTTCCAATGCATTTGTTGAAATGAAATCTGAAAATACTCTGCATACATTTAGTAACATGATAAGAATATTATTGGAACATTTGGGGTAGGTGCATCATAAGACAAAAAAATGCCAAAGGTTTGAGTGAGAGGTCAAACTGGTTTCTCCAAGTGGCCACGCACCTCTCCAAAGTATGCACAGTTCCTAAGTAAATTCAGTGCACTTTTATGACTCAAAGAAGAGTCTTCAACTATAATGTGCTTTTTTGAGCTCTCCTAGCTGTGCTGTTGAGGAACTAGAGCAAGCACACTTGTAGTTGTTTTGTTTGGAACACAGCCCTGCATCCCCGCCACCAGGGTTTCCGTCAGGGATAATGTGGCGCCGGACATTTGACCGGCAGCATTTTAATTTACCGGACATTTGAGAAATGTACCTGACCCGTGTGTATTGGGTGTATCCACCCACTGTGCTCAGAATGACATAAATTACATTTTGATTATGGTCATTCATATTAACAGAACATGCAAGTCGAAGATGCAACGATGTGCGGTCCTTTTTACCGAATTCTGATGTGAACTTCGAAATATCTGTCCACATTTACTTTTCCTCAGCCAACAAGACGAGTAACGAACAGTAAAATCACTACCCTGCACTGAGTGTACAAATCATTAAGGATACCTGCTCTTTCCATGACATAGACTGACCAGGTGCATCCAAGTGAAAGATATGATCCTTTATTGATGTCACTTGTTAAATCCACTTCAATCAGTGTGGATGAAAGTTAAATAAGGATTTTTAAGCCTTGAGACAATTGAGATATGGATTGTGTGTGTGCCATTCAGAGGGTGAATGGGCAAGACAAAATATTTGTACCTTTGAACGGGGCATGGTAGTAGGTGCCAGGCGCACCAGTTTATGTCAAGAACTGCAACGCTGCTGGGGTTTCACGCTCAACAGTTTCCCGTGTGTATCAAGAATGGTCCACCACCCAAAGGACATCCAAGCAACTTGACACAACAGTGGGAAGCATTGGTGTCGACATGGGCCAGCATCCCTGTGGAATGCTTTTGACACCTTGTAGAGTCCATGATCCAACGAATTGAGGCTGTTCTGAGTGCAAGGGGGGGGACTCAATATTAGGTAGATGTTCTTAATGTTTAAGTGTATGTCAATCTACCATCCCCCATAGAAAAGTTGACCTATTGTATTGGTCAGCTTGTCGACAAAGAAATAGCCTATTCCAAACAGACTCTGGGACAGTTATGGGACGAGAGATCCCAAATTGATTTTATTTTAAATTCATACAACCAGTAGGCCTAGGTTACATAAAAAAATAAACATTCAAAAGCAAGGAGTCTAATGCAACAGATCAGAACGTTTAGCTTAAAATGTTGATAAACTATTTATTCACATAAGCATAGCAGTGCTCACAAGGCAGTAGGCTATGCGCAAATGTTTGTTCCATAATGCAAAACCGTTGTCAAAAGGGCACCGCACATGCGAGCGGTTTCATGTGACAGAGGTTAAAATATCCGTTAGAAATGTAGAAAGAGGGCATATCTAATATGCAACAACTAGCTTTTACTTGGCTCATCGCACTCTAATGACTCCTTGGGGTGGGCAGGGCGCCTGCAGGCTGACCTCGTCGTCAGTTGAACGGTGTTTCCTCCGACACATTGGTGCGGCTGGCTTCCAGGTTAAGCGGGCGGGTGTTAAGAAGCGCGGTTAGGCGGGTCATGTTTCGGAGAACGCATGACTCGACCTTCGTTGGGAAGTTGCAGCGATGAGACAAGATCGAAATTGGGGAGAAAAAGGGGGTAAAATGCAACAAAAAATTGAAATAATAATAAAATACCTTATTTACATAAGTATTCAGACCCTTTGCTATGAGACTCGAAATTTAGCTCCGGTGCATCCTGTTTCCATTTATCATCCTTGAGATGTTTCTAGAACTTGATTGGAGTCCACCTGTGGTCAATTCAATTGATTGGACATGATTTGGAAAGGCACACACCTGTCTATATAAGATCCCACAGTTGACAGTGCATGTCAGAGCAAAAACTAAGCCAGGAGGTCGAAGGAATTCTCCGTAGAGCTCCGAGACAGGATTGTGTCGAGGCCCAGATCTGGGGAAGCGTACCAAAAAATGTCTGCAGCGTTGAAGGTCCCCAAGAACACAGTGGCCTCCATCATTCTTAAATGGAAGAAATTAGGAACCACCAAGACTGTTCCTAGAGCTAGCCGCCCGGCCAAACTGAGCAATCGGGAGAGGAAGGCTCTTGGTCAGGGAGGTGACCAAGAACCCGATGGTCACTCTGACAGAGCTCTAGAGTTCCTCTGTGGAGATGGGAGAGCCTTCCAGAAGGACAACCATATCTGCAGCACTCCACCAATCAGGACTTTATGGTAGTGGCCAGAGTGCTCAGGACCTCAGACTGGGGCGAAGGTTCACCTTCCAACAGGGCAACGACCCTAAGCACACAGCCAAGACAACGCAGGAGTGGCTTCGGGACAAGTCTCTGAATGTCCTTGAGTTGCCCAGCCAGAGGCCGGTCTTGAACCCGATGGAACATCTCTGGAGAGACCTGAAAATAGCTGTGCAGCGGCGCTCCCCATCCAACCTGACAGAGCTTGAGAGGATCTGCAGAGAATAATGGGAGAAATTCCCCAAATACAGGTGTACCAAGCTTGTAGCGTCATACCCAAGAAGACTTGAGGCTTTTATCACTGCCAAAGGTGCTTCAACAAAGTACTGAGTAAAGGGTCTGAATACTTAAGTAAATGTGATATTTCTGTTTTATTTTATTTCTAAAAAACTGTTTTTGCTTTGTCATTATGGGGTATTGTGTGTAGATTGAGGATATATTTTTTTTAATCCGTTTTAGAAAAAGGCTGTAATGTAACAAAATGTGGAAAAAGGGGTCTGAATACTTTCCGAATGCACTGTATCACCAGTAGTAGCCTATATTTACCGTTAATTTTCATAATTTAGTTTATCATAATATTTGTTTAGTTACGGTAAATTCTGTTAATGCATTCAATATACAGTGAGGGGAAAAAAGTATTTGATCCCCTGCTGATTTTGTACATTTGCCCACTGACAACAAAATGATCAGTCTTTAATTTTAATGGTAGGTTTATTTGAACAGTGAGAGACAGAATAACAACAACAAAAATCCAGAAAAACACATGTCAAAAATATTATGAAAAGATTTGCATTTTAATGAGGGAAATAAGTATTTGACCCCTCTGCAAAACATGACTTAGTACTTGGTGGCAAAACCCTTGGCAATCACAGAGGTCAGATGTTTCTTGTAGTTGGCCACCAGATTTACACACATCTCAGGAGGTATTTTGTCCCACTCCTCTTTGCAGATCTTCTCCAAGTCATTAAGGTTTCGATGCTGACGTTTGGCAACTCGAACCTTCAGCTCCCTCCACATATTTTCTATGGGATTAAGGTCTGGAGACTGGCTAGGCCACTCCAGGACCTTAATGTGCTTCTTCTTGAGCCACTCCTTTGTTGCCTTGGCCGTGTGTTTTGGGTCATTGTCATGCTGGAATACCCATTCACGACCCATTTTCAATGCCCTGGCTGAGGGAAGGAGGTTCTCACCCAAGATTTGACGGTACATGGCCCCGTCCATCGTCCCCCAAACACCCCCAAAGCATAATGTTTCCACCTCCACGTTTGATGGTGGGGATGGTGTTCTTGGGGTCATAGGCAGCATTCCTCCTCCTCCAAACACGGTGAGTTGAGTTGATGCCAAAGAGCTCCATTTTGGTCTCATCTGACCACAACACTTTCACCCAGTTCTCCTCTGAATCATTCAGATGTTCATTGGCAAACTTCAGACGGGCCTGTATATGTGCTTTCTTGTGCAGGGGGACCCTGCGGGCGTTGCAGGATTTCAGTCCTTCACGGCGTAGTGTGTTACCAATTGTTTTCTTGGTGACTATGGTCCCAGCTGCCTTGAGATCATTGAAAAGATCCTTCCGTGTAGTTCTGGGCTGATTCCTCACCTTTCTCATGATCATTGCAACTCCACGAGGTGAGATCTTGCATGGAGCCCCAGGCCGAGGGAGATTGACAGTTCTTTTGTGTTTCTTCCATTTGCGAATAATCGCACCAACTGTTGTCACCTTCTCACCAAGCCGCTTGGCGATGGTCTTGTAGCCCATTCCAGCCTTGTGTAGGTCTACAATCTTGTCCCTGATATCCTTGGAGAGCTCTTTGGTCTTGGCCATGGTGGAGAGTTTGGAATCTGATTGATTGCTTCTGTGAACAGGTCTTTTATACAGGTAAAAAGATGAGATTAGGAGCACTCCCTTTAAGAGTGTGCTCTTAATCTTAGCTCCTTACCTGTATAAAAGACACCTGGGAGCCAGAAATTTTTCTGATTGAGAGGGGGTCAAATACTTATTTCCCTCATTAAAATGCAAATGAATTTATAACATTTTTGACATGCGTTTTTCTGGATTTTTTTGTTGTTATTCTGTCTCTCACTGTTCAAATACACCTACCATAAAAATTATAGACTGATAATTTCTTTGTCAGTGGGCAAACGTACAAAATCAGCTGGGGATCAAATACTTTTTTCCCTCACTGTATTATTATTAGTCGTTTACCGTTCTCATTGTCGGAGTGCACACATTGTTTGCAGAGCTTACAACCTATGCTACACTTGTGAGGAAAAAGTTTAGGTTTATTTCATTCCATTTACGAGTTTTGTCAATTTATTAATTGTCTTTTGTTTGGAGCATTCCTGTCAATGCTACCGGGCCTGCGGGTAAATGTAGGCCTAGAAATGTGCCCATTTGGGGATATCTGATTTAGCATTTCTGATTGTCTTAACTCTCCACCACTAATGAGCTGTGGAGCTTTTCAAAGTACTTTTTTGTTTACCTCAATCAGCAAGTAAAGTCTGTTTTTAGAATCCATTGAGAATGACAATAGTTCCTCAATGTATTAGAAAAATATTTCCAGCTCTCTCCCTTTTGATAACCACTTGGCATGAAAGGGAAAAATGGAAAGCTCTGATCCAGTTGAAACATAAAATACCTGATTTACTTCTTATCCCTTGCACAAATAGCCTACAGCTGTGTTCTGTACCGAGCTCTATCTTTTACAATGTTGCAAATTTGCTAGCTCGAGCTTCGGGCAGGACCCAGTTGATAGTTGATATAATATTTCAAGTTCGTTGCAGACAGGCCATGTGATTTATAGGGTATTTATTTTTATCGGGATATTTCTACCTGCAGGCTGCAATGTTTTTATTTGTTGGCTTTATGTAGGCTATTTTTACATGGTTGGCAATAGAAGTTACTTTTAGATTTGTAGCATCCTCATTTAGATTTAGAACCACATGATAAGGATCAGTTTGAGATACAAAGACTATTATAAATTAAATGAAACTGTTCACGAAAATGTGCATATGAAAATCATAACTTGCACGCAGCTTGGTAGAAATGGTAAGATAAATTTGCACTCCAAATGAAAAAGGTTGCCTACCCCTGGTGTAGCCTATTACCGGCAACTTCAGGAGCATAAGGGCAGAATCTGCGAAGGCCAGCAGCGAGGAGGAGGGTCGGAAACACTCTTTTTCTTCTTGTAGTTAGGCTATTAAAGCATCAGACAAGCTCAGTACAGATAGTTGATTTTATTAAAAAAGCCCTAATGTTTTCAAAATGCATACTGCCTCCAGCTCATTGCAAAGTGGTGAGTGACGCGCTGATGAAGCCTGCCTTCCGTTGCCCATGCATTTGCTGTTTGAAATGCTGTTGCAGCAGTTTCTCACGCTTTCTGACTGATTTTCTGCTCAAAGGCTCTGTATCTGTGTGCTGTACGCATGTGCTAAAGAAGATGCATAACAAATATACTGTACACGCGCAAATTTAATTCCACTAAATCATGCAAATTAACCTATAGACCGATAAGCATGACCAGTCAAATATATTTCCATCGACTGGTATTTCCATCAATGAAGAGGCTAAAAATTATTATTTCGCAATGGGATTTTCTTCTTCTCCCGGAATATTGGCCCCGCCAATTTTATTTGTCAGCTTTTCTATCGGCCAAATGCCGGCTATTAACAGCTAACCTTAAACCTTGCCGCCATCACACAATTACTATTTATGCAAACCAACAATTGTCCATTATAAATCGCAATCTGGGTCAGGTGGGCATCATTTCAAACCTTGTTCTATTGCAGACATAACTAGCTAAATTATAAAATATGATCTTAGTGTTAGGCTTTCACAAGGAAATTCAGTGAAGCAGATCGTAATTATGGTGCGCATAGAATGGCGTCATGAGTGCGTTCAGATGAAACTGCCAATTTTCAATAGACAATACAACAAACAGGCTCATTCTGTTCAGGACAACCCAGGGTATAACGCCATTTCATCTTCTAACTGTACATCAAACATGGTGATCGTGGGGCCTCCCGAATGGCGCAGTAGTCTAAGGCACTGCATCGCAGTGCTAGCTGTCCCACTAGAGATCCTGGTTCGAGTCCAGGCTCTGTCGCAGCCGGCCGCGACCGGGAGACCCATGGGGCTGCGCCCAATTTGGCCCAGCGTCGTCCAGGGAGGGTTTGGCCAGCAGGGATGTTCTTGTCCCATCGCGCACTAGCGACTCCAGTGGCGGGCCGGGCGTAGTGCACGCTGACTCGGTCGCCAGGTGTACAGTGTTTCTTCCGGCCCATTGGTGCGGCTGGTTTCCGGGTTAAGCGGGCACTGCGTCAAGAAGCAGTGCGGCTCGGTTGTGTTTCGGAGGACGCACAACTCTCGACCTTCGCCTCTCCCGTGTCCGTACGGGAGTTGCAGCGACGGGACAAGACTGTAACGACCAATTAAATACCACGAAATTGGGGAGAAAAAGGGGGTGAAATACCAACAAAAAAAAAAAAAAACATGTTGATCGTTAACGTTGACACTGTATATTACATGAGTTTTATGATATGGAAATGTGAAGTGCACATTTGGACTCACGGGTGTTTGGCTTGCTTGTATGACATAAAACCGTTTTTAATTATAATCCTCTTAATTTACAGCATTTCCCTCAAACAAATAAAAATTGCAAACCGTCTTTGTAGCGCGCAGTACTCAAGTTCAGAACGGGTGTCAGTCAAAACCCGTACAGAGCTGTGAAGCAGAGACCCTGAGCTCTGATGTCATGTATAGCACAGCCACTGCATTCCAATTTAGGCACTTATCAGTGTCCAAATCTGTAATTTTCAACCCGTATACTGGTACTACATTTACATTTACATTTTAGTCATTTAGCAGACGCTCTTATCCAGAGAGACTTAGTGAGTGCATACATATTTTTTTTTTATACTGGCCCCCCGTGGGAATCGAACCCACAACCCTGCCGTTGCAAACGCCATGCTCTACCAACTGAGCTACATCCCTGCCGGCCATTCCCTCCCCTACCCTGGACGACGCTGGGCCAATTGTGCGCCGCCCTATGGGTCTCCCGGTCACGGGTTCGAACCAGGATCTCTAGTGGCACAGCTAGCACTGCGATGCAGTGCCTTAGACCACTGCGCCACTCGGGAGGTTTTACTAGTTTTAAACGGTTAACAAAAACCCCGGGCTCTGGTCAAAAGTAGTGCATTACATAGGGAATAGGGTTCCATTTGGGACAAAACCTATGTCGAGGGGCTTTTGAGTTGGAAGGCGTGACCCATATACTCTAAAAGTTTGACCAGTAAGGGAATTACTGTATTTTACTGTCATCAATCATTCCCCTTTTTACTCGTGAAACCATTTGAAACTATCCATCTGTCTCCTTCTATATCCAGGCTCTCTTCAGATCAACAAGCTGGGTGTGCTGACTGAACTATCAGCAAATGGCGCGAGGTTGTATCCTGTGGGCTACCAGTAAGACATCCATTTAGATGCTTCTTGTTTTGAATAATCCATTTGTGAATAATGTAGTCAGGGTTGTCATTGTCTTGTTTAATATACTGTTATTATAAGATATGAGAATGGCCGTATAAAACTCCAGTTACTTTGCAGAAGAACTTCATTTAGAAATTCTATTGGGCTGTATATATTTTACTTTACTCACCTTCTCATCCTCCTCCCTCCCTCTCTTCCTCCGTCCAGGTGCTCTCGGCTGTACTGGAGCACAGTGGACCCTCGGCGGCGCTGTAAGTACACCTGTAAGGTGACAGAGGTGTGCTCTCCACTCCCAGAGAAGCCAGGAGAACCACAGTGGTGGGACCAGGAGGAGAACCGAACCATAGCCCACAGCTACTGCAAAGGTCAGCAAACCCACCTAACCTGCCCCTATCTGGTAGTAGAGTGGAGCACTTCAATGGATAACCTTGATGTCCCATATTTTATATTTGTTTCTTCTTTTCAGTTGAAATAATTAACAGAGGGATAAGTATAACAACATAATTAAGTACATGGGAATCGTACAATATTTACTATTCAAAGGGGACAATTTACTAGAATCTACTAATTCTCAGAGTAGACTCTTCAAAGTAAATAATGTTCCTTTTTTTGTTCCATCACCAGAAATGGAGATTCCAGAGGATGTGATGAGTCCTCTGCCCATTGAGGTATGTCCCAGCACCACCCCGTCCCCCCTGAAACAGGAGCCTGGGGCCAAAACCCCTGGTTACTCACAGACCAGGAGACCAGCAGGAGGAACATCTCGACCTCTTCCCTCTCCCGGTAACATTGACATTGAGTTAGTTATCAATACCAGTTTATATCAGTTTAATATCTAGTGTCAGTTAACAGTGAGATCTCTGCTTTATTGAGGAAAGTTTTTACTTACTATGAGTGATATGTTGCCTTACTTGATTACCTTAAATGTAATGCACTGACTAAGTCGCTTAGGATATGAGCGTCTGCTAAATGACATCAACGTAACATTTTAATATCGCTCTCTTCTGTCATGACACTGACTCGTGATCCTCTAATCTCAAGGGAGTGCCATGACCAAATCCCACCACGTCCTGACTCTCAGGGATCTGGACGATACCTGCCGGCCGCGTCGCCTGTCTCGGGGCCGCCACTCCGGGGACTCCTCTTCCCCCACCGATGGCCCCGCGGGACCAATGACGCTCCGTTCAGGGGGCACCCTCCACCCCAGGTCCCTACCCTCCAGCTGGAGCTCCCCTCCCTTGTCCCCCTCCAGTGTTACCTCCCCTCTCTCTCTGCGGCCTGGCGCCATCGGCAGCCCCCCCTCCAACCTCCCTCTGGCCATCCGCAACTCCTCCAGAATCCGACAGCCATTCAAAATCACAACTCCAGTGTCCGCTGAGGTGCCACAAGACTTCTTAGCGTCATCCGAGCCAGAGGAGGCAGTGGTGGTGCCCTCAAACGGGATCACATTGACAGCAAATAACATGGAGGAAGACACAGACGTCGGCCCCCTGATGTTGGATCAGGACTTGCCCTTCGCGCCATACGACGTGGCGGACGCAGACGTGGCGGTGGCCTCTGTGCTAAACGCCAAGCTGGAGTTTGACGAGGCCTTGCTGAACGAGACTGTGGCGCTTCACTGTGGAGGTTCCCAGACAGGTGGAGGAGATATGGAGGAGGAGGAGGCATTAGAGGAGGAGACTCAGGGTGGGGACAACATGGATGCCAACAACAAGGCCCCAGTATTCACCAAAGCAATGGCCACTAAAGAGGTCCTGGAGAACGGTTCCTCAGACGAAGACATGGATCACTACTTGAAGTTATCGCGTATGTTGGTGGTGTGCGAAGCCTCCAACGACTCAGGGCAGGCAAGTCTCCCTCTCTCCTCACCTCCTCCTACATCTCAGTCCATCTCACAGCTTGACGGAGCTGATAACGGCTCTGAGAGTGACTCAAGCGATTCTACCTGCGATGAGGAAGAAACTCAGGAAGAGGGGAAGAGTGGGGAAGATCAGGGGAATGACACTCAAGGCGTGTTTGAAACCTGTGACCCAAATAACGACATGTCTGTTGAAAAGGAGGTTCTGATGGACTCAGAGCAAATGGAATCCCAGAACGAGGTTCTTCTGGACCTCAGCAGTGGCCATTTTGTTTCGGATGACGACAGCACCAGCGAGTACCTGGCTAATAATAAAAAAGTAGTGCTTGATGACAGCGATAGCGACAGCTCTGGCTCCTCTACAGATTCTCTTGTTGGAGTGGACGACGAGATGGGAGACCCAGACTTCGAGCCGGAACCCAAACCCAACCAAAAATCACCTCCCGTAAAAACCATCAACGTCATGGAATGCCCTACTCCTGTGAGCGTGAGAACTATTCCACGTAAACCCACACCAACGCAGAGAAAAATCATCAGGGTGTCCCTACCCTCTGGACCTGCTCTGCCTCTGAATGTAGCCTTCTCTTCGACACCCATCGCTGTTCGAACCATTCCAAGGACAGTCACCTCCACCGCCTCCCCGACCCCATTCGTAATAAATGGCATGAACTCTATACCCTTACAGACAGGGGCCAATAGGGGGAGAACTATCGCTATCCGCCTGGCCACCCCCAGACAAGCAGCTCAGCAGCAGCTGACTGCCACTATTCAGTCTGGAGCCTCCAACTCAGCCCCGTCCCCACAGGTTCTGCTAGTCAACCGTCAAGGTCAGATTCTGATGAAAGATCCAAACACCAACACCTTCCAGACGGTCAGCACCAGCTCCCCTTCCTACAGCCGCATCAGCCAGATTGCCAAGATGATCCACAACAGTGATGCCCTGCCCCGCGCGGTTCCCCAGATGGTGGTCGTACCCGCTACATCTACACCCTCGCCACGGACAGCCATCTTCCATAGTTCAAATTTCATCACCAGTAACCGAAACAACACCACCACACCAACCACCATCTCTAACAGAAACAACACCACACCAGCAACCACCACCAATCTCCTGATCAGGACCCCACAGAGTTTGCATGATGGGCGAGTGTTGGTCCGAGCCATCCCCGTGACGAGTGGAGCTAAACAAGTGAGGGTCAAGTGCGTCTCTGTGCCCAGCTCTCCAGTGATGATGGGCAACCAGGCCCAAGCTATCTTAGACAGAGCCATGGCTACTCATCGCGAGCCCTCTCGGATACGGCCTAATATCCTCAGGGTGAGCCCGTCCCAGCTGAGCCCATCCCAGTTCCAGGTCCACCCGTTCCTCAACAAGCTCCAGTCCCCTCTAGCCATCTCAGACACTCCTAGTCAGATGCGCCGCCACGAGCCGGCCACCGTACCTGAATCCCAGGTCCGCGTCAAGAGAGTGTCCTTCGTCGCTGAGCGTCCCGGCAAGAAGAAATGTAAGACTGATTTCCTCCCGCAGTCACCCTCTAGTGACCTTGATGACCTAGATGGCAGCAGGTAAGGCAGAGTACCATATGTACAATATGAGATGATGGAATTATTTTATTTTACTTGGAATGTTGTAACTCTGACTGCACTACATATTTTCCAATTGGGACAATAAAGAAAACAGTCACTGTTTTTTTTTACCTCACACAGAAATAGTGGTGTTCGAATCAAAGCCCCAACAATGAAAGATGTGCTGGATCTGGACCAGGAGAAAGTTGAGCCCAAGGTGATCCTACCACCAGAACCTGAGAAGATCAGGTTAGTTTCTTCTCAAACACGACCATAGCAAGATGGATGCCACAAATACACACTGCAAGGTTAATTTGATTAAACAATTATAATTAGAATGCATAAGTACGGAGCCCCTTAGGGGTCATGGTCAAGAAAAATAAAAGCTGCAAGGCTAGTCCATTCCCTCTTTTTTTTATTAGTTCCCTCAGTATAAAAAGTAATTCCCTCATATATATTTTTTTTCCCTGAATAGAAAAAGTAGTTCCCTCAATTTTATTAGTCATTCCCTCTCTATTAATTTGGTCCCTCAGATCTCTAGGCTTATAAGAATGGCATTCTCCTTATGTAGGCCTACCCCGGTCCCATTCCTACTTGGCCGATAACATATTGCAGCCTAAATGTAATTCTATTTTGTTAATTACATGCTTCAAATGGTGATGATCACTGACCATTCAATAGCTAGTTCCAGTTTCATTGTTTTCATATGCCTTTGAATCATAAGGGCAAATAATAACATTCAAAACCCCTTAATTAGGCTAAGAAATGTCAATAGCCTGAAAAGCTAGGAGCCTCGCTAGCAGTCATAATTGAATGATGCATGTTTTTAATGCAAACCAAATAAACTTTGTGCAAACTCTGATTCATACACTTGGACAACATGAAGAGTTGTCCATTTTGCGCACCTCTCATCCCTGCGACCCAGTGTTTTACCAGCTTCATGCATATAGTTAGGGCTATACATCCACTAAAACATGGCACCAGCCAAGTGCCTGGATGTGTTTATGACTGTTAACAATTGTGCATGTGACTCATGAGAGTGAATTTATTGTGCATAATTTCCAAGCAGCTTCTGTGTTAACAGGTGCGCTAGAATTCTGTCATGATCTTAGCTGTTCTATAGCCTGTCTATACTCCAGGGGAGTTGGTTAGCTAGCTATCCTAGCCTGGCAATTAGCTAATATCCAGGTGAACGTACTGTCATCGCAACAAAGCAAATAGCGATCCATTTTTGTGATGAACATAGACCCAGAGCCTCTTTAAACCATCTATCTGTGCCTGGTTGGCGAAGTCACTATACAGCTATAGCGAGCAAGATGCCTTGCTAGCAGCTCAGTCACACACGCACGCACACGCAGCAGCATGCTTCTGAAAATCTGGGAAAGGGGTGCAGAGAGAGACAGAATGCTGATTCCGAGAGGACAATTACATGATTGAGGGAGCAAATGCATAAATTGAGGGAATGGATTAATAAAATTGAGGGATCTACTTTTTATATTGAGGGAACGCATTTTTAAATTGAGGGAATTAATTTGTTATTGAAGGAACTAATGAACAAACGGTGGGAACGGATTAGCCTGGCTGTTTTTTTTCTCTCTCCACCATGACCCTTAAGGGGCTCCGTACATACAGTCCATTCGGAAAGTATTCAGAACCCTTCCCTTTTCCCACATTTTGTTACGTTATAGCCTTATTCTAAAATTGATTAAATTACATGTTTTCCTCATCAATCTACACACAATACCTCATAATGACAAAGCGAAAACAGTTTTTAAATACATTTTTGCAAATGTATTAAAAATAAAAAACATACCTTATTTACGTAAGTATTCAGACACTTTGCTATGAGACTCGAAATTGAGCGCAGGTGCATCCTGTTTCCATTGATCATCCTTGAGATGTTTCTACAGCTTGATTGGAGTCCACCTGTGATAAATGCAATTGTTTGGACATTATTTGGGAAGGCACGCCTGTCTATATAAGGTCCCACAGTTGACAGTGCATGTCAGAACAAAAACCAAGCCATAAGGTCGACGGAATTGTCGGTAGAGCTCCAAGACAGGATTGTGTTGTGGCACAGATCTGGGGATGGAAGAAGTTTGGAACCACCAAGACTCTTCCTAGAGCTGGCCGCCAAGCCAAACTGAGCAATCGGGGGAGAAGGGCCTTGGTCAGGGAGGTGACCAAGAACCTGATGGTCAGTCTGACAGAGCTCCAGAGTTCCTCTGTGGAGATGGGCGAACCTTCCAGAAGGACAACCATCTCGGCAGCACTCCACCAATCAGCCCTTTATGGTAGAGTGGCCAGACGGAAGCCACTCCTCAGCAAAAGGCACATGACAGCCCGTTTGGAGTTTGCCAAAAGGCACCTGAAGGACTCTGACCATGAGAAACAAGATTCTCTGGTCTGATGAAACCAAGATAGAACTCTTTGGCCTGAATGACAAGCATCACATCTGTAGGAAACCTATATGAAACCCTACGGTGAAGCATGGTGATGGGGATGTTTTTCAGCGGCAAGGACTGGGAGACAAGTCGGAGTTGAGGGAAAGATGAACGGAGCAAAGTACAGAGAGTTCCTTAATGAAAACCTGCTCAGGACCTCAGACTGGGGAGAAGGTTCACCTTCCAACAGGACAAATACCCTAAGCACACAGCCAAGACAATGCAGGAGTGGCTTCGGGACAAGTCTCTGAATGTCCTTGAGTGGCCCAGCCAGAGCCCGGACTTGAACCCGATCGAACATCTCTGGAGAGACCTGAAAATAGCTGTGCAGCGACACTCCCCATCCAACCTGACAGAGCTTGAGAGGATCTGCAGAGAAGACTGGGAGAAACTCCCCAAATACAGGTGTGCCAAGCTTGTAGCGTCGTATCCAAGAAGACGCAAGGCTGTAATCGCTGCCAAAGGTGCTTCAACAAAGTACTGAGTAAAGGGTCTGAATACTTATGTAAATGTTATATTTCTATAAACCTGTTTTTGCTTTGTCATTAGGGGTGTTGTGTGTAGTTTGATGGGTGGAAAAAACAATTTAATCCATTTTAGAATAAGGCTGTAACGTAACAAAATGTGGAAAAAGTCAAGGGGTCTGAATACTTTCCGAATACACTGTGCGCTTTTATTAATTAAAAAAGCTGACATGTTTCGGCTTCACTCAGTCCGCCGTCACATTTTCTTTTTTGGAATGACTTAACCCAGATGAGCAACCCTTTCCATAGAAGCCTTCAGTAGAACAGGGATATCTAAACTCTATTACACCTTCGTTTTAATGAATTCATATAACACCATGTCTGTGTGTCCTGTCTTATAGACCACCTCCCATACCTCAGATGGCACATCAGCCCAACAGCACTCTACGTCCACCCAACAGCAGCATCACTCAGAGTAGCAGCAACATCCATGGGAAAACCCACGTATGGGTCAGTGCCCGCCATGGAGATCTCTCTGACTGGGGCCCCTACTCAGGTGGGCATCCTTGTATACATTCAGCATTGAGCAGTTTTACTCTTTTTTTTTTATTCTACCAAAAACCCATATTAGAAATGTATTCTGAATGATAATATATATTTATAATTTCTGGTTTAAAAAAATCTTAACCTTCCTATTCTTAACACACTTCAAACCTCTCAGGTTTCAGCTCTGACGAGGACACATCGCCACCTAAACAGGACAAGACCAGGTTTGCCCACAGGAACCAGCCCCACCTGTGCTTTGAGATCACCAGCGACGACGGCTTCCATGTACAGGCAGACAGCATAGAGGGTAAGAATCTCAGCCTAACTACAGAAACAGTAGCTGTAACTTATATAGTTGTAGCTATAGCTATTCCTATTTGTGTATATAAAAGCATTTTCTATGCAGAATCTGTTGAACTGGCTTTTAAGTCCAGGGCTAGGCTTAATGTGTGTCCAGTAAACCGACCCTATGTAGTATAGCATTATATTTTGTTATTCATATCCTCCTTTTTTTCTCTCCTCTCCCTCCCTCAGTGGCGTGGCGAGCGGTGATCGACGGCGTCCTGGAGGCCCGAGCGGGGTTCCATTTGAAGGCGTTGCCCCTGGGCGGGGTAATCGGGGCGCGGGTTCTGGGCCTGCTCCACGACGCTGTCATCTTCTTACTGGAGCAGCTGCAGGGCGCCGCCAGCTGTAAACAACACCGCTTCCGCTTCCACCGCTACGACACCCCTGACGACGAACTGCCCATCAACCCCAGCGGCTGTGCCCGTGCCGAGGTCTACTCGCGGTAAGAACCAAGCACTGATGTATGTGGTTAAAATAGGCATGTTGACAACAGAGCCATCTTGCTGTAAGGTCTCCATAACTTTATCCCTTATTGGAATGTAGAGGTGATTTTCATTTTGAAGCTTAAGTAATTGAATCTGAATTTCTATGTTGTAGCCTGAATTCTACATCTCCTACATTTTAGAACATGAAATGACTAGCTATAACGAACTCCCTCTCTGCCTCTGTCTCCTCACAGGAAGTCAACCTTCGACATGTTCAACTTCTTGGCGTCTCAACACAGACAACTGCCTAACATCATGTCGACACCATGTGACGAGGAGGACGATGACGTCCTACTGAAATCCACCAGGTTAGACAACTCCACAATTACAGCTAATGCTTTAATTTAATTGTATCTTTAGTATTTTGTGTTTTTTTTCTGAGATAAATAAGTTCTAACCTACTGTATTCTCCATGTTCCTATCTCATAGACGAGCCACCAGCACAGAGCTTCCCATGGCCATGCGCTTCAGACACCTGGAGAAGACCTCTAAGGAAGCAGTGGGGGTTTACAGGTAACTAAGAAAGAAAACGATTTGTTAATGTTCTAATATTATTACTATTATGATTACTTTGTTTTTTGGGGGGTAAAATACTTCATACTTTTTTTCTCTTTCACTGTTTCTTTGATATTTTCCTTATCCTAGGTCTGAAATTCACGGACGTGGTCTGTTCTGCAAGAGGAACATTGAGGCAGGGGAGATGGTGATCGAGTACGCAGGCACCGTCATCCGTGCGGTTCTCACAGACAAGAGAGAGAAATACTATGACAGCAAGGTTGGTCAACAAAATCAATGGAGTTATCACTGTCTCATAAGCAGTTTACAGAAACTGGTTGTGCTGCAGATGTTTAGGTTGAATGCAACGGAAAATAAAGCAATGCATCTCATTTTAGAAACTACAGCAATGCAAAAAAATACAGCAATGCATTTAATTTCAGAAAATACAGCTATGCAAAAAAATACAGCTATGCATCTCATTTCATTCAATAACTAAATATATTTTAAACATTTGTGACGATATATTTTAATCTGAGCACTTAGATTTTGAACATGCATTCATGATGTGCGGCTTTTAGTGTTTGTTTGTTTTGTATTTATTGTGTTTTTATAGCTGGCGCAAAACATGTCCCCTTTCGCTGATTAATTAAGTACTATCTCATCTTTGTCTTCTAAAACCCACCTCTTATCTACTCGTCAGGGCATCGGCTGTTACATGTTCCGCATTGATGACTTTGATGTAGTTGACGCCACCATGCACGGCAATGCCGCCCGTTTCATCAACCACTCATGCGAGCCCAACTGCTACTCGCGCGTCATCCTCGTCGACAGCCACAAGCACATCGTCATCTTCGCCCTGCGTAAGATCTACCGTGGCGAGGAGCTCACCTACGACTACAAGTTCCCCATCGAGGACGACAGCAGCAAGCTGCACTGCAACTGTGCCACCAGGCGCTGCCGCCGCTTCCTCAACTAGAAGATCAACCTAACAAACAGACATCAAGTTGGAGTACTTTAATTCCTAGAGGGAGACTGGGAGACAGGGAGGCGAGGGGAAATGCAATGATATGGTCATAAGAGTGCCGTTGCCCATAAGTACTGATGAATCGGACCCTCATCCGTAGATAGTTTAATTTACAGACCGACTGATATTACGCTTTTTTATTTAAAGACTGACTGGTGGACATTTTGTGGTTATATCCCAGAGCATGGTTTCCCAAACTCTGTCTACCGCTACAGGCATCTATTCTAGGCCTGCAAGGAAACCCAGTTGATTCAGACCTCAGTACTTTAGGCCACTGGTGACATTACACCATCTCATGGGCAACTCGCGTGGTTTGTCTACGTTCTTGAATCAGTTGCCAATGGCCTCTGCTGAAAATGGAGCTAAATATTCCACAGTTGTGGTGCTTATCACTTAGACCAGTTTGTCATTCAGATTACTCTGTTTTAAAGAGGAATTCCATGTTATTGTAGCTATGACAATACAAGGCTACACTTGAGTGGAGTGGAAACCGATTTTAGCACCTTATTTTCAATGGCCATAAGCGTGGGCGTTGCTATACATAAAAGGCAATACTGACCTTGGAAGAATAAAAGTCTGTTGTATTTTTTTAACTTAGACCCAAGCCACCTCAAGTATATATTTTAGAGCAGCTACATTTTAATTGCCCATGTCGATGGAGACCATTATAACAGAAAATGCGTCCCAAATGACATTTAGGACATGGCCTGAGACTCTTATGAGCAGGGGGCAGGTTCAGGTTGTTGTTCCTTTTGTTGTACTTTTATGAAGGTGCTGTTCAACTACCCTAAAGGTTGCTTTCACCTATGTTTTTAATAAAGGTAGACTCAGCGAAGTGACGTTGCTACGATCACCACCGCAGATATTGAGATGAGCGAGATGCAAGACTTCAATCTCACACAGTCACACACAGTATCTGCGCATGTGCGTACGGGTTAGATTCACGCTGTTACAGCGTGGTAGCCAGGGCACATAAACAGCGGAGAAGTTGAGCCTCACGCTGCAACGCTCATATTTTGAAATTGACCCACTTGTGCTGTTTACTCTCTGCAACGCTGTCATATCGCTGAGTCTACTTTACACTTGTTCTCCACTAATTTCTCCCATGTTCTTGAAATTAGAATGTCATTTCTGTGTAAACAGATATCTTGATGCACCCCTCTAGAAAGAAATAATGGAACATGTTTTAGTCTGCCAGGTATACTTTTTTTCACTATTGTTTTTGTCGTTTTGCCCCAGACTTTAATACTGGGGAAAGTAATATGGTTTTGGGTGAAAAAAACTGCTTTGGTAAGTCTACTCCCTCCCTATCATTTTACAACCCAATGTGTATATGTTTGCATGTATATTGGTATAAATGTATAATCAAAATGCTAATGAAAATAAATAAATGTGATGTGTTGTCAAATATTAACCTGGTTTATATTCGGTACTGAACACCCACTAATTTTAAACAGGGTCATGAAGCTTACAGTACAATACCTGGTCGTAGTCTATTCTCAATTTGTTGTCCTTTTATCTTCTATCTGTTTTGTGTTCCCCTTCTACTTACCTGACTGTGACCACTCCTCTCCCCTGTTTCACAGGTGTACTACCTCAGTGGCTCACCATGACATTAACAAGAGAAGATAATGTTTTGGTCTGTTACAATAACTACTTCAGCCAGTGCTTGAGGTATTGGACCTCAGTTTCTGTTTGTTCCGGCCCAAGTCAAGCACTGACTGTAGTAAACCATGTAGAATGCATGGCCAATAGATCGTGTCATTCTAAGTGGTATGCTAGTATGGATATTGTAACTTGCTCTTGGTTTCCAACTCCTGCTGTGCTGGCTCGAATGTGCAACCCCATTTTAGGGCACTGAGCTGGCTGTGCATGCAACACCATCTACATGTTTTAGTTGGGGTTTGGAGGGGTCTCTGCCCCAGAGTACTGAATAAATGCAGTGTGTTATTGCCGTAGGACTGTTTTAAATATATTTAAAATAAGATGTTATCTCACTGCGTGTTGAATGAACATGGTTCTGTTACCTTGAAACAAGGCAAACTTTGTCTGTACATAGTTGTATAAACATTTTCTAAACCTTTTTTTTTGGTACACACTTTTTTGTATTTATTATCTTGGCTTAATAAAGATGTTGAAATGTTTCAAGTAATGTTGGTGAGGGATTCTTTTTATTTTGGGGGAATTAAATGTATATATACAGTGCATTCGGAAAGTATTCAGACCACTTACCTTTTTCCACATTTTGTTACGTTACAGACTTACTCTAAAATGGATTAAATAAATAAAATTCCTCATCAATCTACACACAATACCCCATAATGACTAAACGAAAACAGGTTTTTATAAATGTATTACAAATAAACAAATACCTTATTTAGATAAGTATTCAGACCCTTTGCTAAGAGACTCGAAATTGAGCTCCGGTGCATCCTGTTTCCATTGATCATCCTTGAAGATGTTTCTACAACTTGGAGTCCACCTGTGGTAAATTCAATTGATTGGACATGGTTTGGAAAGCACACAGTGCATGTCGGAGCAAAAACCAAGCCATGAGGTCGAAGGAATTGTCCGTAGAGCTCCGAGACAGGATTGTGTCGAGGCACAGATCTGGGGAAGGGTACCAAAAAATGTCTGCAGCATTGAAGGTCCCCAAGAACACAGTGGCCTCCATCATTCTTAAATGGAAGAAGTTTGGAACCAAGACTCTTCCTATAGCTGGCCGCCCGGCCAAACTGAACAATCTGGGGAGAAGGGCCTTGGTCAGGGAGGTGACCAAGAACCCGATGGTCACTCTGACAGAGCTCTAGAGTTCCTCTGTGGAGATGGGAGAACCTTCCAGAAGGACAACCATCTCTGCAGCACTCCACCAATCAGACCTTTATGGTAGAGTGGCCAGACGGAAGCCACTCCTCAGGACAGCCCGCTTGGAGTTTGCCCAAAGGCACCTAAAGGACTCTGACCATAAACAAGATTCTCTGGTCTGATGAATCCAAGATTGAACTCTTTGGCCTGAATGCCAAGTACACATCTGGAGGAAACCTGGCACCATCCCTATGGTGGTGGCAGCATCATGCTGTGGGGATGTTTTTCAGCAACAGGGACTGGGAGACTAGTCAGGATAGAGGGAAAGATGAACGGAGCAAAGTACAGATCCTTGATGAAAACCTGCTCCAGAGCGCTCAGGACCTCAGACTGGGGCGAAGGTTCACCTTCCAACAGGATAATGACCCTCAGCACACAGCCAAGACAACGCAGGAGTGGCTTCGGGACAAGTCTCTGAATGTCCTTTTAGTTGCCTAGCCAGAGCCCGGACTTGAACCCGATCTAACATCTCTGGAGAGACCTGAAAATAGCTGTGCAGCGACGCTCCCCATCCAACCAGACAGAACATAAGAGGATATGCAGAGAAGAATGGGAGAAACTCCCCAAATACAGGTGTGCCAAGCTTGTAGCGTAATACCCAAGAAGACTCAAGGCTGTAATCACTGCCAAAGGTGCTTCAAAGACTAAAGGGTCTGAATACCTACAGTGGGGAGAACAAGTAGTTGATACACTGCCGATTTTGCAGGTTTTCCTATTTGCAAAGCATGTAGAGGTCTGTAATTTTTATCATAGGTACACTTCAACGGTGAGAGACGGAATCTAAAACAAAAATCCAGAAAATCACATTGTATGATTTTTTTAGTAATTAATTTGCATTTTATTGTATGACATAAATATTTGATCACCTACCAACCAGTAAGAATTCCGGCTCTCACAGACCTGTTAGTTTTTCTTTAAGAAGCCCTCCTGTTCTCCACTCATTACCTGTATTAACTGCACCTGTTTGAACTCGTTACCTGTATAAAAGACACCTGTCCACACACTCAATCAAACAGACGCCAACCTCTCCACAATGGCCAAGACCAGAGAGCTGTGTAAGGACATCAGGGATACAATTGTAGACCTGCACAAGGCTGGGATGGGCTACAGGACAATAGGCAAGCAGCTTGGTGAGAAGGCAACAACTGTTGGCGCAATTATTAGAAAATGGAAGAAGTTCAAGATGACGGTCAATCACCCTCGGTCTGGGGCTCCATGCAAGATCTCACCTCGTGGGGCATCAATGATCATGAGGAAGGTGAGGGATCAGCCCAGAACTACACGGCAGGACCTGGTCAATGACCTGAAGAGAGCTGGGACCACAGTCTCAAAGAAAACCATTAGTAACACACTACGCCGTCATGGATTAAAATCCTGCAGCGCACGCAAGGTCCCCCTGCTCAAGCCAGCGCATGTCCAGGCCCGTCTGAAGTTTGCCAATGACCATCTGGATGATCCAGAGGAGGAATGGGAGAAGGACTTGTGGTCTGATGAGACAAAAATGGAGCTTTTTGGTCTAAACTCCACTCGCCGTGTTTGGAGGAAGAAGAAGGATGAGTACAACCCCAAGAACACCATCCCAACCGTGAAGCATGGAGGTGGAAACATCATTCTTTGGGGATGTTTTTCTGCAAAGGGGACAGGACGACTGCACCGTATTGAGGGGAGGATGGATGGGGCCATGTGTCGCGAGATCTTGGCCAACAACCTTCTTCCCTCAGTAAGAGCATTGAAGATGGGTCGTGGCTGGGTCTTCCAGCATGACAACGACCCGAAACACACAGCCAGGGCAACTAAGGAATGGCTTTGTAAGATGCATCTCAAGGTCCTGGAGTGGCCTAGCCAGTCTCCAGACCTGAACCCAATAGAAAATCTTTGGAGGGAGCAGAAAGTCTGTATTGCCCAGCGACAGCCCCGAAACCTGAAGGATCTGGAGAAGGTCTGTATGGAGGAGTGGGCCAAAATCCCTGCTGCAGTGTGTGCAAACCTGGTCAAGACCTACAGGAAACGTATGATCTCTGTAATTGCAAACAAAGGTTTCTGTACCAAATATTAAGTTCTGCAATAAAATGCAAATGAATTACTTA